CCCCCCCCCCCCCCCCCCAAAAAAAACCAGTGCCCTCGAGACTAGGTTCCATACAAGGTTCACGTCGACACGTCAATGGAAACTTTAAATCCCACCCGCGGGAAATGGCATCTTGTTATTGGTAGGTGGTGAAATTAAATTTGTGGTGAGTCTTTTTTTTTTGTGGCCTGGCAGGTGGGTTCAAATGGGTGGGTGGTTTTCCTTTCTATTATGCTGGATAATATGTGCGATGTGCTATGTCTGATTATTGGGATTGCAGGGGAGGGAGCAAATGTGCCAGGTCAGCATGGATTGAGAAGTTGATGTTTCATTGTTCTGGATCTGTGGATACTTGACTGGAAATCCGGCGCGCTGGGGAGGTAAGTTGGTGGTTGATGTGCATACACTGAGTGCCGTGAATCGACGTGCGTCTGAAGAGGATTGGGTTCCTGGAAAGTAAGGTATAGATCGGAGAATTATGATCCAATTGTTGGGAAAAGTCTGTTGAATTGAAGTTTGGGAATGGAATGGGGGGAAAGAAAGCTGTCAAGTCATAAGTTGATATACTATAGACTATAGTTAGTTGTCATTAGGTCCTATTGAGGAGTGTATTCCGTTGCTGAATTATTGCCAGTCGGTCGAAGTCAGCAGATCGTGATAGTATCAACGTTAAGCATAGCTGTCAACGACCTAAATCAGGACCGGAGAATAGTCTTAGATAGTCATACGTAAGTTACTGGGTATAATCGCAAATGGTTCTAGCCCTGGGTAAAGTGCGGTGGCCATAGCTTCAGCCTCTTCTGTCCATTTTATCATAATTAATTTTTGACTCGAGATTAATTTGTTCCCCTTGTCGGTTCCCACCCACTCGCTCCGATCGAGTATTGAGACAAGGATTATGCCGAAGGAAGATTGGCGAAGATTATACGTGGAAAACTCCCAAGCTCACAGGAGTCACGGAAATTACATTCCTTCTCGGGTACTAGGGAGGGGGGAAGGGACGAAGTCGATCATCCTTCGCGCCGGGTATTATACACACATGGAGTACCCTTACCGCATACACTTGTGTGTTAGTTGTTATCTGCCTGTCAGCTGGGATTTTTACTTTTTTGGCGGGACCATTCTCTGAATCTCCTTTTTGGCGGATGACAGTCACTCCGAGGTACTGATTAACGATCCTAGAGGGGATGAGAACGGTCTGGATGTAGTGATGTGCAAGTACTACGTACCTTTTTTTTTTTATTGGTTTTAAACTCTCCATAACCTTTTCCACCTGGAAAAATGTCATGTATGATCGACCGCTCCCCCTCCCTCCTTGTGGACGACAACTCAAACACCCACAACCACACACACCCTGGTCGTTTCCATTACCCTGTCCGGTAAAGCGGCCCCCGATTAGTTGCTACCAAACAATGACGAACAGATCTCCGGCGTGGCATGCCGGAGCCTTACCCGAAGGAGATTAGTCGTGCCCCGTGGAAGACCCAGAAAACTTCTCCAGAAAAAGGTTTATGACCGAGGATTGAAGAGACCTGACTAGCTGATTAGGGATTTAGTTCTCCCTTCCGACCCCCCCCTCCATCGGCTTCGACTCGGCTGAAGGCGAAGCAAAAAGAGAGGGAGAAATGAAAAAAAAAAAAATTACCCTCATGAATAATGAACCCTGTTATTGATCCTGTGCTTACTCGACTACCTCTCTCTTCCTGGATTTGCCTACCAATACGACCTGGGACTGGTTCTGCTATGAGCGAATCGTCGCCTCCAGTCCTGCCTTTTCTTTTTTATTATTTTTTTTCCCTCACTCTCTGTTATTCCGCCAGCGAAAAGGATCGACACGGGACTCTGCGGACCAATTTAGGACGTACATCATTTTCCAGCCACGTCCCCTTCTCACCCCTCTCGTGTCTGTCTCCTGCCATGCCCTTTTTCTTTTTTCTTTTTTCATTTTACCGAGTCAGGTCTCATCCACAATGAGCCTTATGGTCCCGTAGTTATCAAGTCCTTGTCCATTGTCTAGTCTCGGCCATTTACCTGTTGAACGGCCTTGGTTCAGCTCCAGTAAACCACCCGTAAACTACGTATCCAACTGCCGCATAGTGGGTGCTTCAACCGCGTGCGCAGTAGAACCTCACCCCCCTCTGTCTACGACTTCCGCGTATCTCGCCTCTTGTACTTGGACTCTATATTCTACCAGTTGGCTTGAAACTTGCAGTGGAACTTCCACCGTGTTGCCTTCTTCTCGGAGTACGAGAATGAATGCGCATGCGAAGATCTCGTTGAGGAAGGCTGGTGTGTCTCGCAAAACAGCAGAAGCAAGAGATGGATGGTGGGTGGTTATCTCCGCATTAGGCAACATGACGGAGTGTAGCTTACTATGGGGGAAAAGGGAAGAAGATCTTGCCAGTGGACGGTAGAGTCATGTTTGCGATCGTATTGCAGAGTGGCAAAGATATCCTTTTCCCATTGCTCTCATCTACAGGATGAAGTTGTGACTGCGTTACTGGCTGGATCGCTTCTTCCCGTGACATGCGGTACAGTCTTCCTCGAGGATTGCAGGATCGAAAGAGAGAGATGTGTAGCTGTGCCTGCGGCTTTAGGTTGTGCATCGCACTCACCTCAATCACAAGACGAATGTCAGATGATCATTAGAGGCTTTGAATAGCTCATCTCACGGCGGCTGCGGCTGCAGAGTCGAAGGACATGGGGAAATCTACGGAAAAACCACTGACCACTGGGAAAACAAACGAACGTCAGACAGAAGCTGCTGCTGCTGCTGCTGCTGCAAAAACCCCGTCATCTCGCTTGTCGATGCACCTGCCGACAGAAGTTTCTCATCTCCGGCAGCGCAGAAAAAGGCCCTCATAGGATGATACCCTGGAAGTTGCACGCAAACGAGCAAGCCAACCACAAGCCATTGTTGATCCGGGGGACCTGGTCTCTTGTTCAATGCGATGGCTTTCTTTTTGATGACTCATTGTTAGTCAGACTTCACCAACCGCCTTTCTTGCTCGAGAGAGATAGAGAGAAGGGAGTTGTGACTGAGAGCGCATATGGGCTGTTTCAGCCTCCTTTTGACCGCTGGTGTGTCTCTTCTGCACACTACGCATGGCTGATTGTCTCGCATACGCATACTTAGCTACTCTCCAGGTCGTGTTGACCGGTGCAGAGACATGTGTTTCACTCGTTTTTGGGTCTGTAGCTGTTCAGCGTCAAGTTGTCGATAGGAGGAATGCAGTTCTGGGTATGCAAATGTGGGCGTTGCTTGTGCACGTCCCGTCTTCGGAGTAACTTTTCCTGAACATACATACATACATACCTACCACACGGTTACAATCGGCCGCGCTTCCTTCGATCCTCACTGCATGAGGTTGGCTTTGCCTGGTCCTTGATCGACCGGGTTGCCTGCATTGGCTCAGGGTCCCGTGTCGCTGTCCTCCATCCAGTACATGGAAGGAAAAGGGATGGGGGAGGTGGGATCGTCCGCTAACTCACTGTAACCCTCCTCTTACTCTTACGTTGTAACGACTAGGGCAACAAGGAAGTGACATCGCTACGCAACGCAACACCGAGTAACTCCAGAAGTGGAGAGAGAAAGAGAGAGCGGGTACCAGGGCGGTGGTGACGCGGGCTCTTTCTTGGTCGCAGCTTACGATCCAAAACGGGCTGTTGCCATTTCCACTTCATTATTCATTCTTCTTTCTCCTCGTGCTAACTACCACAGTTAGTGTCTTCGCTTATCGATCGTTTGTCTGAACACAAAGAGGGAGAGGGGGAGAGGGGGGGGGGGGGCAAAGCCGTTGGTACTAAAATCCACGACTAAACCATGTTGGGATTGCCATCTGCTCGCCTCGACTAGCCAATTCCATGATCGTTTGAAGATCCACCTTTCCGCGTTCTTGATGGCCAGCAGCGAGCCAGCCCATGACGCGGAGGAGGAGGAGGAGGAGGAGGACGAGGAGGGGAGGACAATGCCAGCAGTGACCAAGTCTGTTGGTGTGAGAATCATCTTGCTCTTTCCCCCTCCCCCCCCATCGGATCGACCCCCTCCTACCCTCACCCACCAACCGTCCCTCGCCTGGTCAACAAGGGTACGGAGTAGATACTAGAGAGATGGACCTCCCCATCTAGACGGACCCGAGACTCCGGGTTTTTGTTGCACCAGTGCCTTGATTATCGTTCACTCTCCCGGGAAGCAGGGTCGGGTCACGGTGGCGCCATATCGACCACCGTCTAGTCTCGTCCAGTCCGGTCCATGCATGCGCTTTGGACATTCCTCTTCCCTTCCTTCCCCAGCATAACAATCTGACTTTCACGTCATGGAAGCGCTACACACAGACTGCCTCTGACAAGGCAGTCAGTCCTACCAAAACAAGAACTGGCCCTTGTTGTGGTTGAAGTTAGTTTTCCTTTGGCCAGCTCTAGACAGCCATGCACGGCATGCGCCCATCGATCACTGTTCCGAAACTCGAAACTCACTCTCTGCCTTGAAAGGTGATGATAACCTCTCATTTCGAACAGGATATGGTTCGTTGACGGAGATGATTCTCCTCTGGGGCTCGCCGCGAATTGCCACGTTGGCGGGGGGGGGGGGCTGGCCCTTGCTATACTATCTTGAGGTGTTAATCTATGCCTCTATACTTCAGATTTACTATAGCTCTTGCCCCCTCCCGTCTCTTCTCCCGTTGCCCCAATTTATGGACAGGTTGGTTGGTTGGTGGACAACCCGTCAATCAGTAAGAAATAAAGCATAGTACTCGGTATGAGTACAAAGGTGCGTAAGAAGTTTGCCACGAACTAGAAGATTCTGCCGTTGTCAGTGTAGCTAACAGCGTGTCAGAGAGAAAGAATAGGAGGGGGATTCACATAAGTTATCATCAGTGACAGCTGAACTAGAGGCTAACTACGATCAAATCAACCAAACCAACGTCAAAGTGGCCATCTTACGGAACCTATTGTTCAGAAAATAGTCATCAAACCATGACCTACCGTTGAACCCAGAGCGTCAAGGACTAACACAATAACCGACTCTAATCGAACATATCTTATGCTACACTCCATAGTAGTATAGAATCTCTCCACTCTCCACACCATAGTTTAGCCCTATCACCACGTACTCATACCCATACGAGTAGTAAATACTTTCTCCTCATTCACCATCCACTACCGCTTGTTGGTCATTTCCCCTCAATTCGGCGACTCCGGATCGCCGCCCCTGTCTTAAGAAGAAAAAAAAAAGGGATTTGCACTGCAGACGGGCTAACGCGACTCGATCATGAAATCATCCCCCAGAAAAGAACGGCTTCCCAACGGGCGGGATCGCTGGCTGGCTGGCAGCGAACCAAACGAACAAGATTCTTTTCGCAGAATATTGCACCAATCACGGATTTCTCCCCGCACACCCGATCGAGGCGATGGTCGTGTCGATCTCAGCGCTTTCTGCTTCCTTTTGCAGGAACTTTGGAAACTCTATAGTAGCCAGCACATACTGAGAGGTAAAGTATACACCTTATGTACAGTACTGCCTGGGGCCCGGGGGTCCGTTGAACTTCTGATATCATCCTTTAGAGGTCTGAAAACCTTCTGCTGCTGCATGCATGCATGGGACAGAAGAGGAAACTTAGCTCCTCCCCCCCCTCAGCGGCTCTAGACGAGAATTCATTTGAGGACGTTGAAAGATTTCATAGGTATAGGCTTGGGGATAGGTTGCAATTCCGACGGACGACGACGGCGGCGGCGGCGCGGGTTGGAACGGGCGAGATTGGGATCAATATGCGGGGGCAAGGGGGTGGTAGGGGGGGGGGGGGGGGCAGGTTTGCTTCCAAATTACTCGACTTACGTCCCGGTTTGTCTTTGCTTGTTTTCTACGAAGTTATCTGCATACTATCGCTATGTAGATACTCTGCACCATTGTTATAGGTAAATTGATTGGTTTGTTGGGTTGGTTGTGATTGTTTGCTACTCTTGAGTACTGTAGTGATAGTAATAGTAGTCATTGTTGCATCTATGTAAGTAGTAGTAGCAGTAGTGTTTCTTCATCATCTGCCTCCGCCCTTTGTTTGCTTCTTCTGTTTTGCCGACACTGCTTGTTTTTTTTTTACCTCATGCCTATGACCGTCTCATTGATGTGTATTACTTAAACCGCCTTTAACATTGGTGATTGATCCACTCCACGCATGCATGCATGCAGAGTGAGAAACACAAGTTCAGATTGAGATTTTGGATCACCGCAGCGGAAATTCCCGACAACTTTCTGACGGGAACCCACAGCTGGGATTTGTCAAATCTTATGAGGTGTATGCAGAAGGGAAAAGAAAAAAAACGGAGAAATCAGGTTGAAAAGCGCCGGGACCAGAAAGCCCTTCAGGTGCAGTGTCTGTACTTGTGCTGTAGGTAAGGTAAGAAGAGAGGATTGGAAATGCTTGGACGGTTCCAGTTGGATGATGCGGGGAAAAAGCCAGTGGATGGGCGATCAGATCACCAACCTATCATCCCCGGGTGATCATCCTTGGGCCTGCTTGCTGTGTCTTGGTTTTTTTTTTTCTTTTATCTTTGCTTGATCTTGCCTGGGACTTGGTCACTGTAATGACTCTATGAGTCGTCATCGGATTGGCTAGCTAACAATTTGTACTAGGACCGAGCTATCACATCCAAATCCTTATTAACTGGACAACTGAAATGCAGTGTGTCGAGGGGAAGGGTTTGAGAAAGCAAATTATAACCTTTCATCGTCGAATATCATGCAATGCAACTGCGCGGTGATCACCAAAACTCTGTCTGTTGTCGTCCAGTCTTCCACCCACTTTGTCACCATACCCTCTGGGCCGAATGGAGACTTTGGAGGACATTTGGGCTTATACTACCCATGCAATTGCCGTGTTTTCTATCCGAGCAAGTTTTGTCGCGGTATGCAACAAGCAGCAACCAAAAAAAGTCCGAATCTGATGCGCCGGGAGGGAGGCGATCAGATTAGGCTGGATGTGGGATGGCTGATCTCTGCAGACGGTCTTATGCGAGTTCTTTTTCTTCTGGATGCTGTTCACCGGATGATCGATTGGGAGATGTTGAGCGAGAGGATATGATAATCATGATGTAGTTGTGCATCGCGATGGATTGGTTTCGTCTGGGCTGTGCCAATCCTGTTCTCTGTATTGACATATCTTGTCATTGGTGGGTACTGGCTTTGTCATGCGCATACCGTGTAGGGAGGTAGGTAGGTACTATAACTCGGGGATATACTCACAGTATACGGAGTACATCCGCCGAATAACAGCCGTCTTGCGGCTCATTGAAAAGACCGGGTTAGGTTGACATGTGTATTGGGTGAACACAGCCTTAAGATTGACAAGAAACAGCAATGTAGAGTCCTCTATGAATTGACGCAATCGATAAAAAGGATAAGTAAGAAAGGCATGTCCACAACGTGCATTTTCTTTCTTCTTTTCATGGCGCATGCGATCACACCTGTGGAGTGGCATGTATATACACCTGCCAATATACAGGGATGGCCCTGCTGCTCAACCGGACCGGTTTGAAAAGTGCTCTATGGAAAACCTAGAATTCCAAATCCTTTCCCCTATCATTGTTCATTTGTGTTCTGTGTGCGCAGGGAGGGTATATCCTTTCCCATCTTGATATCGGAGGGGAGGGGGGGAGCACCTCCCATGTGAACTCCAACAGGACACAACAAAATTGTGACTGTACCGAGTCTGAAGCGACTAGAGTATTTCTATGGATTGGCGAGGATCCGTCGGATAGTAAAGCGGTAGCTGATAGTCTCAACCATTCCTGAAAATATCAAGGAGGGGGTTGAGAGAGGAGAGAACTCACTTTGATTCGAATATGCCTTGCCTGTTACTATGTGCTCATTCAAGGCTTTGAGGGTGAGTGTAGGGAAAATGACTGAATACAAAAGGATATCGTTCTAGACAGCTGGTTTCTATGCCTTGATACTTTTCGATCGCACTCAAGCATGTATAGATCTTACAGGTTGGCAGCACTCAGAATCCATGATGTTGATAGCGAGCTTACATCTCTGTGATCAAGCTCCTCCTAATTTCCCTAGGCGAAGAAGAAACTCTTTGAGGGTAACTGTATTGTGGTTTTGCAAAAGACAACAACAATGCAATGTCTCATTCGTGATCCCCACCATTCCCTATGTTTTATCATGTACATCCGAAAACATAAAGCAAGATTGGCACCTGCAAGAAAATTCATCATGACCCTCTTCCCGGCGTCGTCACTTTAACCTATCCAAACCAAACAAAGGTATCACAAGCGAGTCGAACTCCTGCAAGAAACGATGTGAAAGAGAACTCCTATCCAAAGATACGCGCGAGACGGAGGACGAGGTAATGTCTCAGATCATTCAACCGTATACTCCGACGTCCCCGTTGCTTCGGACACCGTCGATCGCCCTTCCCTTGCCCTTACTACGGCCGGCCACGGCTCTCATCTTGTTAATCGCCTCGCCGAAGCTAAGGACGTTGTAGTCTTCAGGCATGTGCTCTCCGCTGTAGATGCAAAGAACCCGCATGCCAGGCTTGTAGGTCAATCCGCTCAGAAGCTTGGGGGTAATCAGGAAGTACTGACCGCCGCCGCCGCTTTCAGACGGAGCGCAGGCGATGTCGACCAGGCGCCCGTGGACCATGCGCTCGTTCCGCGGGTCCATACCCTGGTTGATCTCGTCGACAACGCGGAACGGCGAGGCGGACAGCGACTGGAGCGCCATGAGGTAGAAGATCGTGCTGACAGCGCGTTCGCCGCCGGACTGCCGGTGGGCATTTAGTAGGGACAGATTCTCGTGCTCGCGGAACTTCACGTGGATCTGGATCGACCACTGGTCGAAGTCCGTGTCGGCAGCCTCGCCGTTGGGGCCGGTTTCCTCTTCGGCCTTGTCCAGGGTGACCTGACCGGCACAGCCAATGCGAGCAAAGGAGTCGGAGAAGGCATCGCTGATGCTCTTGATGATGCGGTCGAGTTTGGGCTCCCACTTGCCGCGAATCTCGTTAATCGCGTGGTTGTAGTCCGCCATTTTGTTGTCGAAATCGGAGAGCTTGCTGCGCAGCTTGTCGATTTGACGAGCCCGTTCCTCGAACTCCTTGATCACGCCGCTGTTGCCTCCGTGGGTGAGCTCGAGGCGCGCCTTCTCGGCATCAATGTCCGCATCGAGCTGATCGGTGGTGTGGTTGGCCAGAGTGGGGATAAATTCAGCCAGATCGGGTTGTCTGCTAGCATCTGCAAGGATCTTTTGCGCTTCCTTGTATAGCTTCTTCATTCGCTCGGTGGTGTCCTTGATTTGCTGCTGGGCAGCCTTCACTTCGTCGCGCTTTGCATTCAGCCTCTCCTGGTGCTGCACGTTACGTGCTCTAAGAGCCTCGAGATCGGAGATGCCTTCGATGTGACGAATCTTGATTTTGATGAGTTCCTCGTGTAGTCGATGGAGAACATTGACCGCAGTCTGCCGCTTATTAGCAATGCTGTGCATTTTCGATGGCTGTCCCGAGACTTACCGCATATTCGATGGCAGCCTCGGCTTTTTTGATCGATATTTGGGCTTGTTGGTTGCGAATTCCCTTAACCCTCGATCTCACCTCATCAATCATTGCCTGGATCTCCCTCTGTTTGCGTTCCTCCTGGTCTTTTTCAATCAAATTAGCATCCTAACCAGTACCGATCTCGTATAGCTCTATGCTTACTGATTCTCTCCGGAATTGCTCTCCAGTTTGTAAGTGCCGTTTGCTTCTCGCCTTTCTCCTGCTCGAGTTGTCTCTGTATGGGGTCAAAATCAGCACTGAAGGTAGTGGCACAACGCATGATGTTCCTGCTTACCCTCTCGTTATCGATATCTTCATATCGTTTACCCAGCTGAGCGAGTCTGGCTCTATCACCATTCATCCTCTCCTGCAGCTCGCTGGCCTCATCTTCGAGTGCTTTGATCCTCCTCACTATGTCTTCCTTCACAGACTCATCCACCGGCTGTGAAGTCCACATTTTTGCGGGTTTGACCGGTCTCACTCGAGTGGAAGTTGCACTGGGACCATACTCCCGTCGCCGGACCACAGCATAAGTCTGCTTCCCGGCCACCCAGGAGCTTATGGGTCCATCTTGCAGCTGCGTGAACTCCTCATCACTGATATCCCGAAGACTTATAGGGGTTTGGTGCAAGCGATTTTCACTACAAAGCATAGCTACCACAGGCTCGGGTCCGCTCAGGAAATCTCTGGCCCATCCATCAAATCCAAGATCTCTCATTTGCTGATCGGACACGGATGGGCGAAGACTATCTAAGGTGGCAGAGCAGGTACGAATACTGATGTCTGAGAGCCTCTGCTCAACCAGAGCTTTCTGCAACGTCCTGAAGTCATTCCGGGTTTGCGTGGTGAATGCAGTGAAATCCGTGCGTTGTAGCAACGATTCGACAGCGTGGGCGTACTCAGGATCCTTGACTGAGCAGGTAAGGGTTGGAGGACCGAAGACCTCTTTCTCAAACCGGCTCTGATTTTCCTGTAGCCATCGGTAAGCTTTGACAGAGTCCGCAGATATGCGTTCCAGCTTTGATTCCTGCTGGCCAGCTTGAGAATCGAGATTCCTGAGCTGTCCCTCTGCCTCCCTAATCTGATCCACTGCATGCTTGTGTGCTTCTAGAAGAGGCCGTCTTTCTTCTTTGAGTTTATTCGCCTGCGCCTCGATTTCTCTGATCTCCGTTCGTTTCTCCCGCTGTCCGATATTAGCAAGGGACCCTGGATTTGCCTTAGCGTACTTACAATTCTCTCGTTGTAGGAGTCCAGATCCAAAGCTGCAGGCTCTTCCTCTTGCAAAGAACGCCGGAGTTTGTTCAAATTCTGCTGAACCTTACTGATGTTCTGCCTGTGACTCTGCCCACTTCTCTTCTCAGCTTCGGCTTGGTCATCCAAATCCTTGAATTGCTCCTCGAACCGCTCAATCTTCGCAGCGGCAGTTGAAGCCTTTTTCTCCGCAGTTTCGAACGCCTGAGTTCTGTGCTTTATGACATCATCCAGTTTGACACAGTAGTCCTGCCTATCATTCAAGGCCCTCAAGGCAGGTTCAAGCTCTCTTTCCAGATCCGCCAATTCTTGATTCTTCAAATCCCGCTCTCTTTTCATTTCATTGAACTGCGTATGAAGCTCCGTGTACTGCGTGACCGGGCGAGCAATTTCCAGCATCTCAATCTTTCGCTTGATCTGAGCTCGCTGTCGCATCCTTTCCACATCAGCTCTCTGCATCTCTTGTCGGTCCTCAAGGTTCGCTAAAAGATCTCTATCGCCCTGATTGTCTGCCTGCAGCTTTTTCTGTTCCGCCCTCAGGGTTTTGAGGTTCTCGTGCCACTCGACCATTTCATCACCCGCCGCAGCTCTCTGTGTCGAGTTGAGGAGTTCGATGGGCGTGAGAGCAGCGAATTCGCTGACCTTGTCTTGCGGAAGGAATTGGCAAAGGTTATCAATCTGAATGGCGAAGGACTGGGCGAGTTTCAACACTTGCTGACGGGAAGCCTGCTTCCCGTTGATCGTGAAGGAGCTTTTGTTGCCATCGCGTTTGATGGTCCGCGACACTACGGGGTTGCGACGAAAGCGCCTTCCGCCTGCAAGCTCGATCTCGATGATAGCTTCTCGACAACCGTGCTTGACAAATTCGCCAGGATCTTTGGCGCGCCCGAGGTGCTAACATGTAGAGGTTGATTAGACAAAGCAATAGGGAACGTGCAATTATAGTTGTTTGTACCTGCGGCCCCCATCCTAGTCCTAAACATATCGCACAGACAAGTGTACTTTTGCCAGTTCCATTGGGTCCGATGACCATATTCAGTTTCGGGCCCGGGAAGAACTCCGCCGATGTATAAGTGACAAAATCGGTGACTTTGATGCGAACGATGGCACCGGGTTTGTAACCTTCCGGTGTCAACTCGTTCAAATCGGCAGGTTGCGATTCATTTGCGCTGGTCTCGGGAGATTGGGTGCCATCCGCGCCGCCGGCCTGAGTGGGATCTGGTACGCTGTCGTCCTCATTGCCATCTCCTGGTGCCTCAGATCCGTCGGAATCATCCTCTTCTTCGCTAGCAGTGTCCCCTGATCCTCCTTGACTCTGTCGAGCGGTTTGCGTGCTCGATTTGGAGCGCTGGCTCGTATTCGAGTTTCGGGGGTCCGGTTTTACGGTAGCTGAGCCCGAGGAGGATGATTCGTCCCTCGACTCGTCATCGCCTGATTCACTGGCAGAGCGTCCAGATCCCTCATCAGGCTGATCATTATCATCGGTGCTTATTCTGCGGCGCTTGTTCGGGGTTGAGGATCGAGGGTTTGGATTGTTAGGAGCCGACCCGGAGGAAGAGGATGATGCATCGTCGCTATCATCTTCCTCCTCCGACCGGGTGCGACGGCGAGGAACGAACCGTCCGGAGGGCATTTTTGATAATTGGCGAGCACGCCGTGCGATTACCACCAGCGCATTTGGAGGAGGGAGAGAAGGGGAAAAGAGAAGCTTTGATTGTTGACACCGCCTTGGGTGATATGGGAACGGTGATAAAGAAAGATATGGGGCCACGCGGGCGGACGCGACGCGAGTTGAAGGGGAACAAAGAAACTCTGGACCTGCCGGGCACCCGCCCATCTGGCCCCGTTTGGGGTTAGCGCCGACTTTTGACACCCTTCCGCCGGTCGGGGACTTCGGAGCTCTTTGTTGCAAGTTATCGACTTGCTATGCTCCGCCTTCGCCCCCTCTCCTCTTCGTGATTTTGGTATTTGCGACAGCTTTGTTTCTCAATCGACGCTGAAGTCAATCTCACTTCCCACTACCGCAAGACGTGGAAGTGCTCCAACCTTCAAGATGTTTCGCATGCCAAAAGATATCCCACGAGCTACCCTAGCAGGCGCCGTGATTTGCATCACTATCTCCGGTACCCTTTTTGGCGCCTCGCAGAAATCCCAACATCAATTTCAACAGGTATGGGCTCTGACCCCAGTTTGATCGCGGGAAGCTCTTTGTTGATGATCTCTTTCTCCCGCAGAAAGTCCAAGAACAAAAGGCACTTGAGCCGACGATCGATGAGCGAATCACCGGGCTCAGAGGTATGCGAGAAAACCTGATGGCCAAAAAGGAACTCGTGGAGAAGCAGCTTCAGAATCTGGAGGCTAGAATCGAAGAAAGAACTCAGAACCAATTCAGTGAGCCGAAGAAGGAGCCGCCGCACAACAAGTGAAGGATTGAGTCTGAAAGAATGCGAGCTCAAAAAGATAATGCCACCGCCCAATGTCTTGGTTGGTTCGATTACTGCTTGCTAGCCTTATGCGATGGACTGGCATTCAAGTGACGAATGTCCGGGCGATTGATCGTCACCTTATGCGGAGCCCTATGGCGTAAGGTCCAGCTGCGCTGTATTTTCCCTTACGTCGAGGGCGGTGCGGTGAGCAAAATTCGCCTGGTCTCTGTTGGTGACTTCAGAGCTGTCTTAACCATACTAAGACATACGTGAACGAACAGTCTCCAAATAAGACTGGATCACGTTCGAGAAGAGGTGCTCTGAGTGGGTATCGAACGCGAGATGAACTTCAGAGACCAACATCAGACCAGCTATTCATCGTTCAATGAATACAAGTCGAGCCATGTGATCCTTGTATCCAGTATCGGCTCTCATGCCATGGGTGGCACTATCAGGGCTACTCTTGGGCATGCTACGAGAGAGCCGCGAATATTGTGCGAGCTGAACATTTGAAGCGGCGATATCTTGAGGATTGCATGGTTTATTCCCAAAATTAGCATTCGACTGTATATAATCACTCTTCTCCCGTCCACTACCTATTCAAGAACCACGAAGACTAAATGGAACCGGTATTTCGAGGCTTCATAAATACATGATCATATAAGCATCACTTTATGTTGTAGGCATGAAGTCAAAACAAATCACTCATCCAAAATTCCACGGGCAAGTGCAGCAAGGCTCGCTTCATATCTTGCTGGATTGTGGTCACTAAACATTCCTGAGCCAAACCTGAGTTCTCCAAAAGAGGCTTCAACATCTCGAACGAATATCAATTGTGCTCTGGTTGCAGGCCGACCTAACACTGGATGGCCATCACTGCTCACTTCAGACGTGAAAGCGTTTCGCTGCAAAACCCTCATTGTTTCCACCAAAAATACCTCACCGGGTGGTAGCAGTTTGGGCGCGCTCATTTCCTCACGAAGCGTCTTCAATGTATTCCATGCCCACGCATCTTCTCCTACGCCATGACCGGCGTGTGTGAGGATAGGCGGCTCGTTGACGTAGAACTTGTTCACAATACTTTGCCTGAAGCCTTCCCAAACTCGAAATCCCACATGAGAGCGAGCGCCAGAGATGTCACCCTTGAACGCCACAGCTACTGTATGCATATCATGCAAAATGCCGAGCGAGAGGCAAGGAACCACATCTTGACCATTAACAATGGTAGTGATCAATCCCCGCGTTGCGCGACGCAGGAAAGGCGACATTGTCGCGGGAGGACCGTATGCATAGACATGGATAGGCCGGCCGGGGGGCACAAAGAAGGCTTTGCCAAAGGATTGATCATCGCTATCAGATGAGCCCGAGTTCGTGGTCTGATAGGAAGTGGTTGTGAACGATGCCCCAAAAGCATCACTGCTGGGTTCGGAAATCATTGTTGCAAGGAGTGCAGCAACGCCTCCCCCGAGCGAATGTCCACACAGTACCAGCCCATACTCTGGAAATTCCTCTAGTGCAGCTCTGATCGTCAACATGACTCGTCCTCCTCCTCCCATCAGAAGACGCTTGGCCGAAGCGTGCATTCCTTTGTGGACTTTCCAATTCCTACCTTGCCACTCAAGGTCATCGTACTCGCAAGTCATGTCGGTCAGAATATCTTCGAAACCCCATGTCCCTCGCAGAGTCAGAACAACTGCTTTCGATTCATGGTCAAGGAAAAGGTAGTGTACTAAAGGAATACCGCTTTCCGTTTCCCCTGCGGCGTTAGTTCCACCCGCAGAGTCGACGAAGGAGGACAAGAGGATCGTGGAAGCCGGCAAGCCTGTGTGATCAGAGAAATCACTATGTTCCGGGCTAGATACCTCTTCGGTGGGTAGAGCACTAGTCAGGCGCGGAACACCCATGACCTTCAAGGCATGCGATCCATATGAAGCCGAGGAGAATCTGCAAAAACGTCTGATGTTCTGCACAAAGTGCTTTGCAGGGAAGATGCCGGGCACGGTACCATCCCGGCCCAAGCTTTGAAGTGCTTCTATATCATCATAAGCACTTTTCCGAGGACGATGGGCGAGTAGAAGTGATGTTTCAGACCCCGCTGTGGCAAGAGAATATATGCTCGGGGATGATGCTCGAGTGTGATGGTGCAACATAGAGGAGCTGGGACGGCCATCCTTATTAATGTAGATGGTCACATCACTTTCCGACCTGGTCAGTGACAGAGAACTGCTACTACGCACATGGGTTCTTCTTGTGACAGGGGACCCGGGTCGTGTGTTTGGTGGTTCTTGAGCATAGACCTTCGTCTGGTTAACAAGAGATTCCTTTGACTTTTCGCGCACGGCGTAATACTCCGTTCTTGAATTGCCTGTGTGGCTACCCTCGCGGGCTTCAGGACGGCCCGTCTTTGGAAAAGCCGCGGGTTTCACACGATGCTCTTGCAACGGGGTTCTGGGCAAACCTCTGTTCGCTACAGGTGATGATGGTCCGCGTTTTGGTGATGTCGCTGCTGCTTCGTGAGCCCCGCTGCGGTCGGATTTGGTGGGACTCTGTTGTGCTGCTGTCTTTCGCGCGTTCGCTGCTCCCTTTAGAGGTCTCCCTTGTGGAATCGCGTTTTCGGACGATGGCGGGGGCTTTACTTTCTCTGCAGATAGTTTCGTGGATGGGCGCTTGCCAATATCCTTTTTACCAATATTGCTAGACTTGACCCTTTGCGCTCCTTTCGCGGGAGAAGACTTCACAGGACTATCTTTAAATGTGGCTGCTCGCTTGTTGAGAGACGAAGGGTCTGGATTCCCGCGATCAAGCTTGACAGGATTCGGGTTGACACTTCGAGTTTTACTGATAGTGGGATCCTCTGAGCGATCCTCGGGTGAAAGCTGCTCTGTGGTCATCAGCCTATCGTTTGATGGGTCGTCAAGACTGTTTCCTATTGTGGCGAACGACGGATCCCCGAGGTTTCGATGCGACCGGGAAAGTTCCCATTCGTCACCCACATGCCATGCCATGCTGTCTTGATGACTGGCTGGTCTCACATCGGCATTGTTAGACCTGGTGAAGGCGGTCCTGAATACCATCGTATGTTTAGGAAGCTGACCCTGGCTAGAAGATCTGGAGAGATTACCATCATGGTGTCTCTCCTCGATCATCATTGTACCTGGTGGAGCAGCTATTTCTCCAATGTCATCATCAAATACTTCAACCGTGATAGTCCTGGCATGCACCATGTCGGTTCTTATAGAAGCACGGCAACCTTGAGGCAATTGTCTCATGATGTACAAGCGGATATCATCATCGAAGATTTGATGTGAGTTCTCCGTGGGAAGAGAGAAGTGGGACCTTTCTGCGGAATCAATGATGCTTGCTGGTCGCTGTACAGCATCGAAGTCTTCTTCATCGTTCCCAGTACTCATGAATGATGAGCGATTTGTCTCGTCACGCGGTTCATCAATAGCAGCCCTCGGCTGTTCCATTTGATGTGTACCAACAACATCTGCTCTCACGCCATTGTCCAGGATAACCACGTCCCATACGGATTCCACACCCCCGATTCCACGTGCATGCCGTTCTGTGTTCTTTCGGCCCCAGCGCTGGAGCAGTGCAAATCCAACACAGCCAACCAATAGATCTGCGACACCAATTCTTCCGGCTCGAAGTTCGGTCCCGAATTCGGAATCGTTGAGGTCTCGGAGCTCGCTCCGGAAGAGGGTTACAATTGCAGCAATAGCTCTAGATGATTCAGTAGAGCCAAGGGTTGCATCTAATGTGGAGAGTAGTGACTGAGACATGTTGGCTGCTGATGAGAGTGTAGCTGAGGAGAAATGAAACGAGGCAGCGGCGAAAAAAGATGCCGAGGTTATTGTGGAATGCAAAGTAGCCAGCTAAATCGAATGTCAGCCTGATAAAGATAAAACACGGCAAGGACGACGTACGCTCCGTTCGAGTAATGACTCTGCTTCTGCCTTGCCATACTCTCCGCTGCTCCTGATGACAACATCGCGCCCAGCCCTTGTCAAAATCCCCTCTAGTATTGCTCTGCTGAGCTCCAGCCCGGTCAATGTCGTAGTTCTCGCACCATCTATCGCAGCGCCTCCGACAAATGACCCAATTCGAAGAGATAATGAAGTCGACTGAGTCATGAATGATACCATAGAGGCAAGCGGCCTCGGAAGGAGAGGCAAGCCGGACGTAGCTGGAACGTGGCGGGTGTCATTCTCACGACCGACTTGCTCGTATGCCTGCTCGATATCATCCCGTTTCCATGCTTTCCGGAGACTGAAGAGTCTAGACATCTCAACCCATCAGAATCGCAGTCGAATTGACCCGCTTTGACCGATGTGCCGTGAATTTCGTTTCAGCCATGGGCAAAAAGTCGAATAGGTTGGAGTGAGAAAGAGAGAAAGTCGCGCCGCAGTTGTCGCAGGAACTCAAAGTTTAACAGGGGTTTTTTCTGGTCAAACAGAACATCGAATGTTGCGCTGGGGAAGGGGTTCCTGGTTGATGAAAAAGCCAGAATTGCGACCTGGAATTGGGCGCAAGTGGCGACTGAAGGAAGCAATCATGGATAGAACCAATCACTTCCTAAGGGGTCATGCCGGCAATAGGTTATTGACATGTGATCCTCCGGCTCTTCCTCTTAGCGCAACACCGGTCCAGTAGGTACGGTTGGTACCTTGATCTAATCAGTCTTCGCAAACTCTCTTCGAGTAAACACACTTCATTGTTCCACCTGGTCTGTTTCCATTCAAGAAATAATAGTGAGACTACGATTGACTTTCTTACATCATAGCGTGCCTATCCCCCGGATACACTACCTTTCGGATCCTGTCGCGGTAGCGTTCCGTCACAGACCGAATCCCCAATAGCCCCATGTTTTGCCAAACATCCGCCAAGAGCCCTCTGATAACGATCTTTCTTCCCATCGACACTTCTTCCCATAGACACTTAGCCCATAATTGACTGGGATAATAGATTGCCTTGCTCCTAGACGGAGTGCTTTGATGACATCCGCACTCGTTCGAATCCCAGAATCGAAGAGAACTGTCGGCTTGTCCCAGACTACATCAACCACCTCGGGAAGTACCTCCAGAGAGCCGAATGCGGCATCAACTTGTCGGCCTACCGGTAGGCAGCGATGATAAGCGTAGGGATCCCATGTGATATTGAGACATGCTATCTCCATGATCGGAAACGACCATGCCATCACAGCCCGCCTCCACGGCAGGCTTTGCATCACCCACATGCTGGATTCCCTTCAGGAGCAGCGGTCCGTCCCAATTCTTCCCAAGAAAACCAAGCTGATCCCAAGTGTGTGGGGCACTGAGAATATCTGCGAGCTCCATTATCTCGATACGCCCAGAATGTCTTCTTCGATTCTCCAGCCAGATTCCTTCTCAAATTTGGCGCGGAATACTGGGTCGGTGAAGCCGATCTCGTTCCTCATTGCCTTGATGAATGGGGCATAGGCATTGTCCACGTCAGCTGGTCGCCAAGCGAGTGACCGGGTATCCAGAGTGATTATAAGGATGCTGAAGCCGTTGTCCTTTGCACGTGTCAACGAGGAGGTTGTTATGTCATCCACTGGCCAGTACAGCTGAAACCATCACTTGCCGTCAGCATTGGCTTTCGTCTCGTCTTCAATCGAGCTGCTGCTGGCTGTGCTAAATGTACACGGGACCCAATCTTCCCACATGCCTCTGCAGGTCCTATCTCCTTGTCTTCATAGACTATGGATTGCAAACCAACAGACGTCACAAGAAGAGGATTGGAATATTTCTCTACAGAAAGATCTGAGATATGCTGGTTTTCCATCTATAAGAAATGAGCAATCTGCATATGATCACAGATAGGTGAATCCTCAGCCCACCTGCGTCAGCATTTCGGGGACTTCAATGCGATACTATTTCCCCAATTCGGCTTTTCAGCTGCGCGAGAATAGACCTAACATCATTCATTGAAGAAACGCCAGCCGATTGCTGTCTGACCATTCTGGCTTTTTCTCGTGCTCCACCCGCAATATAGTTGAAGCTACGGACTCCCAGGGCTGTCTTTGCTTGCTCTTCAAGTTGACGAGGATCTATGGCGACGGCAGGAGTGACGCCTGATGTGGCTCCTTGGGAGTAGATCTCGGGCTGGTAGTTCCTATGAGTTTGAGACATGTTGGGCCACGGCTATGGTATGATTCAGCCTGAGTTGCTCGTATTGACCTAACCTGGGATCTTCAACTATTTCATCGTGTGCATGAAATGACAAGAGAGCAGACATAATGCTGAATACCCGATATTACAAGATGATCCTTGACGTCATGTCAACTTGATATCAATAATCGCGCGCAGAAGTTACTGACCCGTTTACTTCGATACGAATTCTTGCTCGCTTCAACAAGCTTTACCGATCTTTACGAAAGTTCAACTAGTCACGTCCAAATTGAGGAACCTCTTTTACGACTATAAGTCATCTGATAAACTATTCGATTGCCATCCACACTTCTTAGAGCGTCATTTGATGATGACTCTCGGTTTCGCTCTTTGAATGTCGTCTTCTCACCACAGTCCAATCAGTATACTGGTCCATGCAACTGGCAGCGTACATTCAGCATCAACTCAAAGCTTAAAGGCACTAGATCAACACAAATATTAGAAACAGTGGGTACGCCGTCGGGATCGGCTCAGAAGCCCGCGCGATGATACTTGGTTGTAGGAGTGACAGCAACATCATCGCTAGAGTTCGCTGGGATTCGAAAAGAATGACAGCTAAGGAGTCTCCAGTGCCGCTGCTTGAAGCAGTGGCCACTCTAATCTCTTGTCTACGGCATTTGATCAAGTGTAGAAATCGATGCAGTGGTATCCCCGTGCAACGTTCGTATAAAGCAAGCCAATGACCAGTTTCTCTAGGTACATGCTCTGAATCAGGTTGGCATTGTCTTATTCATACTCTGAATGCTAATATTTGGGTGAGAATCTTGTCAACGATTCGCATTACAGGGTGCAAAGCAGTGCTTGCGTATCAACAGCTTGGCTAGAGGTTGTGGCGGCTTGTAGCTCCTACAAGTGCGTGTTTTCTTTTCTCGCATAGGGTCATGGTGCTCTTTTCCTCCTTGGGACAGGGATGAGTGGAAAGTCGATTGTTCGAGCGCATCACAGTGACGTTCTCACTAGTGATTGACGAGTGCAGATCTGATCATCTGCAACAGATCATTAGTCTATCATGCAGGTTCTGACTATTGCATCCTTGCATTGCCAAGAATGTTGGCCCGTGTTGTGAGCCATGGAGCTGGTGCAAATCGCCATCCATTTTAAGTTTTGTTCAAGGACGATCCAGCTCAGGGTCTTTTAAGACGCATCACCAACAACGCCCACCCAACAATACAAACTCGTCCATGCTATTGATTTCATGCGACTATCTCTTGGCAAAAGGACACTTTCATAAGTCCTCTTAATGAACTATCCTCAATCTGCTCACCTGAACTGCAGAAGAAAAAAAGGAAAGAATTATCGGGTCTAGATCCTTGGCGATCCTTGGCCACTGCGATTAGAAATCTCTCAATTTTTCTAGGGCACTTTTTGCCTCCTCTCACTTGCAGCGTAGTAGGTGTGACGGCTGTCAGTGTACGTGGTCTCCTGCCTTCTCTGGTACCTGAGTTGCGATACCCTCGACTGCATTCTGATACATGGTGCTGTTGTAGATCACCCCACGGGGAAGTTCATCTGAGCGCCCAGACACACCTGCGGGGATCCCAGCCGAGGCAGCCATCAATCACCACCACCACCTCCCATGGATTACAACAGAGAGCCCAAGGCAGACGCCGAAGCACGGTCTCCCATACGGGCTTCGTTGGGCGTAGATGGCGATGATAGATCGGACTTATCTATGTCAGACGAAAAATGGGCACGCCACTTGATATGGAAGATAGACATCCACATCATCCCCTTCGTTGTGCTTCTGTACTTGTTCAGCTTTCTGGATCGAGGTGGGTCTATCTCATGCAGTTGATCTCTTTCACCAGGCTCGCTGGCGGTCTACAAGCTGTTGCTAATGCGATCCAATAGTTAACATTGGCAATGCCCGCTTGTATGGCATGGAAGAAGATCTAGGCCTAGTGGGCAATCAGTATCAGGTCGCAGTATCCATTCTGTTTGTTACTTACTGCGTACGCTCCCATTAAGACCAGTTAGTCAGACGCAACCACTGACATCTATTCGAAGCTGTTCGAAGTCCCGTCCAACTTGGTGATCAAGAAGCTCAGGCCCTCGCGGTACATTGCCTCAATCTCAATCATCTGGGGCATTCTAGCTACCTTGACGGGTATCACGCAGAGTTATGGCGGCTTGATTGCCTGCCGTGTACTTCTAGGTCAGTCTAATTCATTCGCTTCTCGTCTCAACTCTCATGCTCATGTCATTAGGTGTTGTTGAGGCTGGGCTCTTTCCGGGATTGATGACTTATCTCACGCTGTTCTACAGCAAGCGGGAGATCGCACTCCGAACTGGTTATTTATTCAGCAGCGCCGCAGCCGCTGGTGCCTTCGGGGGTCTTCTTGCGTACGGCATTGGCTTCATGGATGGCGTCGCGGGGCTGCGGGGCTGGCGATGGATCATGATCATCGAAGGGATTCCCACCGTCATCCTGGGTATTTTGACCTGGTTCTTTCTCGCCGACGAGCCTGATACAGCGTACTATCTCACTGACGACGAGAAAGCCATGGTCGTCCGTCTGCGTCGTCGCCATGTCGGTCAGACTCCGTCCGCGCAAAAGTTTCACTGGGCGGATGTGAAGGAGGGCGCGTTGGACTGGAGGATCTACGCATTCTGCATTGCCCAATTTGGAGTCGACACGATGCTCTACGGCTACAGCACTTTTCTGCCCACGATCATCAAAGGAATGGGCAAGTGGTCCACTGCTGAAGTTCAGGCACTGACCATTCCGTGCTATGCGCTTGGCGCCATTGTATACCTACTGGTCGCCTGGATCAGCGATCGGACCCAGCGCCGTGGGATCTTCGTCTGCATCTTCGCTGTGATCTCTGTTGTCGGGTACGGGGTCTTGATCTCCGACTCATCATCCGGGGTACATTACTTCGGCGCACTGCTTATCGCCCTGGGGCTATATGTGACCGTGGGGCTGCCGCTTGCATGGCTACCGACCACGCTGCCGCGATATGGGAAGCGGACGTTTGCGACGGGTCTGCAGCTGACGTTTGGAAACATCAGTGGCGTCATGTCCCCTTTCCTGTACAAAACCGAGGAAGCACCGCGCTATGTGCGCGGCAATGCGGTCACGCTTGCTCTGGTTGGCTTTGCTGGTGTGGTCTATGGGCTCATGTGGTGGTACTACCACTGCAAGAATCAGCGAAGACAACAGGGCTTGGAAGACGACAAGGTTGCGGGCATGACCGATGAAGCCATTGAAGAGCTAGGAGACAAGAGTCCTCGTTTTGTTTATAGCACTTGACCGATACCATGTAATCTTACTTATCTATCGAAGGTACATATCATTCGGAGTTTGACCCACTAGTAGAGAAACATAATGAATATCAAATGAAGAACTGGTCTCGGCGGTGATAGAACGGACTTCTTGGCGGGTCCGCTCGTCGATCTTGCGAGAACCCAGCCCGGCGGTTGCTGCATGCGCTGGTTTCACTTGTTACAACACAGCCTCAGGCGTATCTTTAATTCCCAGGGAGGCTTGCAACGGCCATGCTTCGCGGTCTATCTCTTGGGACATTGCTTGTCCCATTCATAATCGTCATCATTAGCAACCATGACGGTTTGTTCACTATGGAAAGATGGCTCGGTCCCGGGGATGACCCATTCTTCTTGGCTTCGTCACTTCATTCTAGTCAGAACACCTTGTTTCAATTACCACGATATCTCCTTGGTCTTCTGAGTACAACTGAGCAATCTCAGAATGACGATTGGAATATTCTCCATCACTTGGGGGGTAATGGACCCTGGATCGAGAAGCGTGGCCGTGTACACTACTCGCAAAGCTTTGGGCCCGACCTCGATGGATGCGTCATTGACCAGGTGCACATGGTATCAATCCCTCCTTATATACGCATTCGAGTCATCTTATACAAGGTCAGTTAACCTCTGACTAGATGTCACGCCACGGGGCGCGGTACCCGACGCGATCAGCCGGAGGCCGTACGTTTGTTCCCGCCATAGCTACAGTACTCACTGCAGTCAGTATACGCTGACAACAGCAACACCAACGACCATTCAAAAGCCACATTGCGCTCCTCAAACGCATCCGGGACGCCAACGTCAAACTGAATGGGAGCCTATCATTCCTCAACAACTGGACCTATTTCACCGACGACCCATCCACCGATTTCGACCAATTGACCACCACAGGTCCCTACGCCGGCACTCTCCAAAGCCACACCACAGGCCTCCACTTCTCCGCCCGCTACAAACACCTGCTGACCAGCAACCGGTCGTCGCGACTCAAGCTCTGGGCCAGCGACTGCAACCGCGTCATCCAGACCGCCCAACACTTCGCATCCGGGCTTTTCGGGTCACCGTCAGCGTCGTCCTCCCCTCCAGGCTGGCAAGCAGAACCTTCCGCAAAAGCCACCCTCGAAGTCATCCCCGAGACCTTCGACCGCGGCGCGGACACCCTCACCCCGGGGGACACCTGCCTCCGATACCTCGAGGACCCCGACCGCGGCCATGACTACGGGATCCAGATGCTCGCGCGGTTCCAGCAAGCCTACATCCCCGCGATCGCGGAGCGACTGATGCTCACCACGCAGGCAAATAATCCCACGCTTGGGCCGTTGAGCAACGGCGAAGTCTACAGTATGCAGGAGATGTGCGGGTTCGAGACGCTGGTGCGCGGGTCGAGTCCCTGGTGCGCGGTGTTCACGCGCGAGGACTGGGAGAATTTCGAGTATGCGCGCGACGTGCTGCACTATTATCGCGCGGGGCCCGGAAACCCCTACGCTGGGGCGATGGGGTGGCTTTGGCTGAATGCTATGACGGGACTTCTAAGGCAAGGGCCCGGTGCTGGGTGGGACCTTGTTCTTTAGTTTGTGAGTTGGGCACTTGTGAAAGTGGAAGACCTGGCTGGAAAATTGACTTCCGAGTGAAATAGTGTGCATGATGGAGATATCGCGCCCTTTCTGACGGCGTTGGAGATCATGGCTGATCCGAAGTATGATCCGGTGCTCCCGGTTACTCATATGGTGTCGGATCGGGTCTGGCGCACTTCATCGGTAATGCCCATGGGTGGCCGGGTCGTCCTGGAGCGGATGACCTGCTCCTCCGGGGGTGAGGGTGCGCATGGCGATGCTGGGCATACCTTCTTACGAGTGATTATCAATGAGAAGGTAACGCCGCTGCCATACTGTAAATCCGGGCCGGGGCTGTCTTGTCCTTTGGGGGATTTTGTGGGTTATGTTGACAGGAGGCGGTTGGAGGTAGGAGACTTCGGCGCTGTGTGCGGTCTCGCTGGGGATCCTGGACAGATTACTTTCCTGTGGCAAGACTAGATGTATAATTTGCTTGATGGTAATGGGTGCAGCTTCTAGCCAATAAAATACCATATGCGTTGTGGTTGAGGTCCTGAAATTTGTAGTATAGGCAAAGTCACTGCGATTCGGGATATTGTCACGAGTATCGATCCGACAATTGATTAGTCGAGTCACTTCTTCAGGCTTATTGCTCTTATGCATGATGGAGACTGTATGAAACATCACAATCATACTCAAGATCGCCGAGGCATCATTGGCCTTCAAATGTGAGATGCAACGTGCTAAAAGCATTCCTCCATAAACATGGAGGAAACGGATCACAGACTCGACGAAAAATATGTCATTGGCACAAGAATCTTGACAGCACCTCCCAATTGTCAACTTAAACGCCCAAAACCATTTCAGAGGGAGACCCCATATCCTTAATATAAGCCAAATGACAACTTCGCACTTACAAATACGTAAAACAAGTTGTTCAATTCATCCCCATCTACCTCTCCAATCTACATACCAAGACCGCTCCCCCCTCACGTGACGGTATCCCGGCTAACACGACTGTTTATGGGGCGGCGGAAACCCCAAAACTTTTGGGCTGGTGGTTATCCAAGCTTCATCACTCCACTTCCATCAAACCACCCCGTTCTCCAGCCCTTTTTTTTATTTGCACATCCTTCTTTCTCAGCGATTGCATTGGCCACCATAACTCTGGCCTCTTTCTTCCAAGTTACGAAAAAGCGCATTTCGAAAAATTTCCCCGTGTCAGCATGGAATATCACTTTGTCCCCCCGGAGGAGCGTGCAAGAAATGAGAAGGGCGAGCTTTTACCCTGGGGTTATGTTTACAAGGAGTAAGTGGGAATCAGCGCACATCCTTGCCGGAGAGGTTCCCTCACAGATACATGGAATCCTTCTGGGGGATCATGAAAAGCAAGCGATGCTAATTAGGAACTCTCACAGCGAATCCCGCAATCCACGCCGCGCCCCCGAGGAATCAGGCCCATTCGGCAAGCGCCGCAACGCCCGGTACGAACACACACGGTCGCGCACCCGCACCGGCACGCCGGCGGCCAAGCGCGAGAACCCCAACGTAACGGAGTTCGGGCGCCTGTTCGCGGCCCAGCAGGAGGACGAGAAGGTGCACAGCCACACGCTACCGAAATCCGCGTCGGCGTCGAACGTGGAGAGCCTGCGCAAGCAGCAACAGCAGCAACAGCAACAACAACAACAACAACAGCAGCAGCAGCAGCAACAAGAAGCGGAGAAGGTCGCGACGGAGTGCATCCTGTACGGGTACAAGAGCAAGGACGGGGAGTGGAAGGTGCTGGACAAGTACGAGCGGATCTCGCAGGGGTTTATCTGCGAGGACTACCCGCGGACGGATCCGCACGCGCCGACGGGGTTCTCGCAGCTGCTGAGCGGCGGGGACGTGGTGATCCGGACGGGGCTGTCGGCGGATGCGAACCGGAAGTCGAAGCGCTACGCGGGCGGGTACCACTGGATCAAAGTCACGTTCGACTCGACGACGGCGGCGGACCGCGCGTGTTTCTTCTCGCCGCAGGAGATCGACGGGCACCTGGTGTTCTGTGAGCTGTACCATGGCCGCGGCCCCGCGGAGGATGCGCCCATCGTGGCCGGGTCGGCGGAGGCGCTGCGCGTGCAGCAGTCCAAGGCGCCCCGCACGCTGACGACCTCGCATTCCACCGCGTTCCTGCCCACGGGCTCCGACAAGGAGCGCCAGACCTTGCCCCGGTCGTTTGCCTTCGGCAACCTGTCCTCCTCGGTGCCGGCGGATCTGATGGCTGAGGAAGGGGACTCGATGGACTCCACGCCGACGGCTAGCTCGACCACAGCCATGGGGCTCGAGCAGCCGCCGACAGGTAGCAGCTTTCCTCTGCTGCTGCAGCAGCAGCGCTCCGTCACCACCACCCCCTCCGCTGCGCCACCACCCAAACCCGAATCCGACTTCATGACCCATATCCCCACGGTGCGGCGGACGAAACTGCGGCCGTTGACCGAGGCCCTCCCGCCGCAGCCCACCTTGACGGAACGGGTGCTGCGCTCCATCCCCATCCTCAGCTGGTTCACGGGCGATATCGTGGGCGACGGCCCGCAACTGCGCGAGGACGGCGCCTTCGACTATGACAAGTCCAACACCTACTGGCGGTTCTGGTACATGATCGACCAAATCATTGGCTCAGACATCTGCGGCCTGAAGGAAGAGTCGTCAGAGGCAGCTGTCGCAACGTCCGCCACAGCGGCCGCAGCAGCAACGACCACGGCCACTGAATCTCCCGCAGCGCAATCCCATCAACCACCACAACAACAATTAAACCACCGCTCCGCGTTCCCAGATAAAGGCCCCCTCTTCTCGCGAACACCGCTGGAAGCCATCGAGAACCCCAACGATGATACCACCACCACAACTAAAGCCCTCCAATACTCCGGCTCCTCGATGGGGCTGAAGGAATTGGACCCCCGCCGCCCGTTCTCCTGGGATTGAGATGATGTCGATGTTGACTCGGAGCTAGAAAACTGGAAGAAGACAGACAGACAGACATACGGGCCCAGACTAGCTGGTGGCAACTGCGCAAGCAAAAACACCATATCTATCCTGTACTATAAACCCTCTCTCATGTCTGTGCCAACCAACGGTGGTTGCTCAAACGTCTTGATATCTCTACATCGAGAGCAAACAAGGGAGAAAAGTAAAAAGTCTGGTCTCAAGTTGCATTCATATCTCCCCGCCTAGTCTTCTTCTTTTTTGCTCGTCTTCTCTGTTGATGAACTTTCCATTTCTACTTGCATTTTTGTGGTTGTAGTGTTTGATGAGTGAAAAAAGGGCGTTATGGATCTTTTGCTTGCTTGCACTTATTTACGCGCGTGGAGAGGAGGGGATAAATGCATAGGCACATGGATTTTTTGCGTATAGACTACTAGGTAATGAAAGGACGTCTGCATATATTCGGCAAAGAGGGTTCTCCTGCTGAGAGAATCTATGTAGGTTGACTAGCTGGCTGACGTAGAGCCAACACTACCGGTAACATCTATGTAATGCAGGTGCAACCCTTACAATGCTGTACACTCGGATCGACTGCCGATCTATAGCTTGAGCCATAATACTCACGAGTGACTTACCCAAAACAGATACAGACTGCAATAAATGACAAGCCAACCACCGAACTTGACCATCAGTATTCTCAGTACATCCCCCAGACGCAGTTTTGATTCTGTTTCAATGGTAAATTTGACCCCGAACAAATCAGGACCTCAACCTAGATTTTTTCCCGAAATGGTAAAAGACAAGATCTCGAAAATCCCGCAAACAAAAAGAAACTCCAGCTTCTTGAAGAGGGGGTAGTAAGTAGTAGTACTGATAGAATGCAGATCGCCCCTTCACGGGGACCGACACACACGCATAGAGGTTCAGAGAGGTGCCTTCGCCAGACACTAACCCACACACGTGACAAAAATAAACAACAGAAGTAATATTCGTTATATTAGAATCTCAAATTTTACTCGACGTTGCTCTCGAAGTTCTCGCCCTCGACGAGGTCGGGGATGTCATCCTCCTCATCGTCCTTCTTGCCCTCGGCGCCCTGGGCCTTCTGCATGTTCTGGTAGCTCTCGGCGAGCTTGCGGAGGGAGGCCAGGCTGTCGGGGCCGAGCTGGTTCAGGATACCGGGGACGAGCTCGGTGAGCTCCTTCTCCTCGCCGTTACCGTAGAGGGCGAAGGTGTTGGAGGGGACGGAGGCGTGGACTGTTTGGGAGACAGGAGTTTAGTATTGGTTTGTAGTGGTGAGCAGCAAAGAAAGAGAAAATTACCCTTGGGGGCACCGAAGTGGATGACGTTGCCGTCCTCCTTGAACATGTTGACCTCCTCGATGGCCTGGATGGGCTGGACGTTCATCTTCTTCAGGGTGGCCTGGAGCTTCTTGTCATCGGCACCGGAGGACTTGTGGACCTTCTTGACCTTGCGGCGGGGAGTACCCTTGCCTCTGTTTTGGGGGGGACAAGGTTAGCGATGGTTCAATCGATAGTGATATTTGTCATGTGTGAGAAGAGGGGGGGGGGGTCGAAATTGCGGGCTGAATTTTGGCGGTGGGGCGGGCGCGCTTCATTCTGCATGTTGAAGGAACAGGATGGATGGTTGAACGGTGCTCTGGGTGCACAAGAGACATTGAAATTGCTTGAAGGTGTTTAGAGATACGTACCCTACCAAGCGCAGAAGAGAGATATGTCAGCAAACACTTATCCATTGAGAAAACATTAGGTAATTTGAAGATCCAAAAAGGATTGGGGTAGAACGTAAGTCGCGCGAGTCTTTTCCCATGCAGAGGACTTGCGATGGTCAAGGAGCTCTACGTTGGCGAGGAAAAGCCATAGCAGCTGGGAGCTGGCCTTCAACATGACGAGGGAGGGGAGGGGCATCGGGGTCGACGGGGAAAATTATGACAGAAGATTCAAAAAAAGGCACATACCAATCCGCACGCTAGCCTGCATCCGAGCCAACTTTGCCTGATCCATTGTGAAGGTAATTGAGTGGTCGTTCGAACTTGAACCTAGAAGCGAAAATCAAAGAAGACTTGTCAGAGATGTACGTTCGGTAAGACTCGTGGAATTTGTGCGGTGGAGGTCTTGGGAATAGTGGTGGTGGTTCGGTGGTAGTGGTAGTGGTGGTGGTGATGGCAGTGGGTGGAGAGGTCAGGTGAGAGCGACGTGACACTTTTCTCGGTCGGGTAGGATAAAGGGAAAATTGGGTTTCTTCGTTGAAGTCACGGACCAAATGGGCGACGAGCAAGAATTCTGGTGATAAAGCTGGCAAAAACAGAGGAGAGAGAGGGGGGTGGGGGGAGGACCTACCGAAGATGATGATGAATGGTGCTGAGGGAGAAGAGGAGAAGGAGTGGAAGTGGGAGGAACAACGAGGTGGTGGTGAACGCAAGCAGCAGCAACCGTTGCTGATGATGCGCCGGGCGGGTTTGTGTGGGGAGCAACGCCGACACGGCGAGACCACCGCGCCCCTCGCTAAGAGTCGCATGGCCCTCTACACTACGCATAGCTCCTAAAGCTTCTACAATGATGGTTATGATTACATGCTACACTCTCAATGGTTTGGATCTGCTACTATCATCGTGATCGGAGATCTGCCATGGTGGTGGTTGTGGGCGAAAAACTCGATGAGGGAGTTTAGAGAGGCTCCTCGGCTAAACCCTAACGATCGCCCGCTGCTGACGGCCAGTAAACCATTTGGCGATCGGTGTCACGGATCGAACGCATAGCGCAGTACTGGGTCCATGGCAGCTCGTCGGCGCACTTAGTATTGGCAGAACTTCTGCATTGAATGGAATGATCATCTAAACAACCGTATTGAGCTAAGTTGTAGCCAGTGGTGGCTAATTAATTGTATCAGGGACCCTGGATATTCACCTCCCGAGCCCCGGCATCTCATTCCTATTCGGGTAATTTGATGTTCCCGCGCCCGCCGGCCCCTTCCCAATGGTCTCAATGAGGTACCGGCATGACGTAGCATCACTATATGAGATACTTCGTGACTTCATTCCCACAATCACATATTTACAATCAAGTTCACAAGAGCTATTGATGAAGACCTCTGCCCATCAGAAACGCTATGCTACAATGCGAAAAGTCGTCAATCACGGAAGGCAATAATCAGAGGGAATCAGCTCCTCTCAGCAATCTGGTGTTCTGTCCACTCCCACAGACGCCTCCCCATCTCCACGTCCTTGGCATACGGATTCCCACTGGCATGGACGCCAATAGGCACATAGTAAGCGCCGTTAACCAGCGTTTCCCGCTTCGCTCCCGCAGCCCACAGCTGGTTCAGCGCCCCCGTGCGCAGGGACCGACAGAATCCACTCTTGATGACCTTCAGCCCCAGATTGAAGACAGGATTCCTCTGCATCGTATGCTCGTATAGGTCACTAGCCACCACGCCCGGGTGCACCGCGACGGAGAGAATCTCCGGATACCGGCGGGCCAACTCGGCCGCAAAGAGGATGTTCGCCGCCTTGGATGCACAGTATCGAACCATGCCTGAAGTCTCTGCCAGAGCGGACGCGGAAGTCATGACCTCGAATGAGGGGCTGCCCGCGTTGGCAGCCGAGCTCAGAGACACGACGCGGACGTCCGGAGAAAGCGCCACGGTCTTCTGCATGATCGGTAGCAGCAGGGTGGTGAGCAGGAAGTGTCCGATGTGGTTCGTACCCATATGCAGCTCGAATCCGGCCTCGGTGAATTTGGTCGGGTTGTTCATCGTGCCCGCGTTGAGGATCAGGGTGTCCAGACGATCGCAGTCCGCACGGAAGCGCTCGGCCGCGGCGCGGATCGATTTCAGTGATCCCAGGTCGAGGGGTAGGTATCTGATGTCGACTGCGGATGGGATGCTCTCCCGGATCGAGGCAATGGCATCCTGGGCTTTGGACTCATTACGCGCGGCGAGGTAGATGCGGGATGGATTGTGTTGGGCGAGTTGACCGATGGTTTCCTTTCCGAGGCCGGTGTTGCCTATCCCAAGTGGTAAAGATTAGCATGCACCCCTAACATTGATGATTGATGGAGACAAAAGTGGAAAATACCTCCTGTGACAAGAATGACCTTCCCCGAGAGGTCAACAATGTCCCGCTGAGGTTGGAATGACCAGCCCAGGAGACCGAACGAGAGTTCGTTCAGCGTAGGGCCAAAATTATGATAGTACTCCGAGGGGCGTTGCAATGCGCCCCAAGTGGCCCTGTGGGACGATGAGATAGAAGCTGACATCTTGAGAACCCTACAAGAACACAGCTTGAGGGGAATGGAGTATGAGTTCTGAGCTTCTCTCAGTCGCAGGTTCAGGAGACGCCCAAAAAGTCGCCTGCGGAAAGCACGGGCGCGGCCAGATTGTGGTACGGGAAGCCATGTCCAATCGGAGTACATGTCATATTCGACATCCCAATGCGATTCGGGAAATTCGACTGTAATATGTGATGCGACGAAGGCGGGGCGGGGGGGGAGGTGGTTCGTGAGAATCAAATCTGACAGAGGTTGCGAAATGCAGAACAGACACTTTTGGAAGGTAAGTTAGCTACGTCCTAGTACTAAGCATGCTAGCCTAGAATGGTCGGGGCGCTGCTGACGCTGGAGCCGTTGTCGGAGTCAACCCGACATGCCCGCGGCGCGGCCACTCCGTCAGGCTCGGTGGGTGGGCTGTGTTTTGATTGATCGGTACTGTACCTTTATTGATAAGGCTACTTTACTTGCTCTGGAATCTCCTCTTCCTCCCACTTCGACCCAAGTTTCCAAGCACTACAATACCGAAAGCTTAAAATCCACAATGCGATTCCTCTGTCTACACGGTGCTGGGACCAGCGGAGAAGTACGTCTGTCCATGCAGTCTTGATCTACATTCAAGCGCCCCCCCCCCCTCCCCCTCCGAATATATTTGGCGGGGCACAACAAGTTGACTCGCGGGCATCTAGATCTTCGAGATCCAGGCTGGTATGCCGTGCCCCCGATGGGAGTCGACCCGGACCCGAGTCATCAGCACCACCCCGCGATACTAATCCTGAATAAATCACCAGGCGGGATAACCTATGCCCTCGAGAAGAAAGGCCATACATTCACCTTCATCAATGGACGAGTGCAAACCGAGGGTGAACCCGGTAAGTCAGATGACCCCTCATCTGATTCGAAACCTTACCCAAACCAAACCAACCCCCCCCTCTTAACCCCCTCAAACCTACAATACCTAACATCCCATACCCCACGGGCAGAAATCAAGGACGTCTTCGACGGCCCCTTCTACAGCCACTACCCGCGCGACACCCGACCGGGCGACAACCTGCGCCTCGCGATCGAGTACGTGCAGCAGATCATCGCGACGGAGGGCCCCTTCGACGGCGTCATGGGCTTCTCGCAGGGCTGCGCCCTGGCCAGCGCGATGATTCTCCAGCACGCGGAGCAGCACCCGTCCGCGGCACCGCTGTTCAAGCTGGCCGTGTTCATCTGCGGCGCCTCTCCCTTCGACGCAGCGGGGATGGAGCTGATCGAACCTACCACCCAAAAGTACCCCATCACGATCCCCACGACGCATATCGTGGGCAAGCAGGACCCGCTGTACCCGCACAGCATGCGCCTGTACGGGGTGTGCGACCCGGCGCAGGCGGAGTTCTACGACCATGGCTCGCGGCATCTGGTGCCCTTTGATGTGAAAAACACGGAGGCGATGATTGCGGCGGTGGAGGGGTCGATTCGGAGGGTTTTGATGGGGGGGAATTAGATATTCCTTTTTTGGGGGGGGAGCGAGTATATATGATCACTACTATGACACAGCAAGTACGCGTTTGATTTCATGCAGATTATTGAGTTTTCTTTGCGTGTCAGGGCGAAGGCAAAGGCGAAACATATCTCAGTCTTGTTTCCTGACAACAGGATCCCGCTGGTTCGCCTTGCCCTTGGAACCACCGAATCGCGAGAGCAGAACCGCAAGCAACAGAACAACAATGGCTAAAGCGAGGCTAAAATTGACCATCGGAGACCCCCTGCCCCCCCAGTGGCCCCAAGTCTGTACAGAGGTATCATGATGAAGTTGATCATAAATTCATAAGCCAGCAGCAGCACCGTCGGTCTGCCCCTCGCCCTCCGGGGGGATAACACTATGCAGGAACTTCTCAAGATCCTCAATCTCCTCGGGATCGGCGGAGTGGCCCAAATAACTAGGAAAACCGCGAGTGTGAGCCGGAAGATCGCTACGGCAGGAACGACGCGAAGCCTCAAACGGGAATACAGCACGTACGGGTAAGAGTGGAACTCAACCTTCTCCAGGTCGAGCGCCTTGAGCTTCTCGCTGGACTGCTTGCCGAAGTCGAAGCGCACCACCTCGTCCTCCTGGCCGTGCGCGAGGAAGAACGGGGTGCCCTGGTTCGGGAAGCCCTCGGGGATGTAGTTCTTGATCCGGTCGCTGAGGAGCAGGTAGCAGGACAGTCCGAACACACCGCCCAGCTTCTCCTTGTTGGTCAGCCCCGCGAACAGCGACATCGCACCGCCCTGCGAGAACCCGCCCAGCACGATCCGCGACGCGCTGATCCCCTTGTCCATCTGCTCCTTGATCAGGCTATTGAAGTACTCGCGCGAGCGCAGGATGCCCGGTTCGTCCTGGTTGCGGATGGCTTCTTCGAAATCCAACTATGATCGTTGTTTAGTGGCATCGTTCCCACACGCTGTAAGGTACACTCTCGCGGCGAGGGGCAACTCACATCACGTCCGAGCTTAGTGATGTCGTACCAGCCGGGCATCGTCATCCCGAAGTTCTAATCAATGACAAGTATGGGCTCGAATCAGTCCACTGCGTTGCTGAATCAGAAGGGTATCGCGTATGCTCGTACCACGGTGATGGGGATCATCGGCGCGTTGGGGAAGATGAAGGCGACCTCGTCGAATACGCCACGGCGGCGCCAGTTCTGGGCGAGTGCCATCCTGTCCAGATTGCTTTATTCAGCCTCACTTCATCCATTGTACTATAATCCGTCGCGCTAAGCCGAGTTCGTAGGTATTCATCCGTGAATAGAAATCAAGGGGGACATACCATCCAGCACCACTAGATTTATTCACCAGAAGTTAGTTCAAGAACGGGATCTTCAGTATAGGGACGGGAGACCGTTTACCTGTCGCCCAAACCATGGGCCATAATCACCGTAGCGGTGTGCTTGGTGAGCGCGGGAACAACGAAAGGAGCGCGAGAGGACATCTTGGTCTATTCTAGTCTTTCGTCAACGGGAGAAATACAGGAAAGCGACAAGGTAGTCTGTAATTGCAGAAAGATGGGCCCTGGATTTTGTCCCATTTCCCCCGCAATTCTGCCGCCAGACTCGCTGACTCACCGCCTCGGCTGTCCCACCCAAAGGATCCAGAGGTTCGAGGCCCCCTGGTGCCTGAATCCACTCGCTAAATACCCCGTATAGCGGATCAAAGTCAGATGGCATTAGAATTAATGGTACTCAGGTTTTAGATACTATGTGCAGGCCCTTCGCAGCCGTAGGTCGCAAAATATGGTGATAAAAAACAGCAAGAGAAATCTCCCCTCTCATGACCCCCAATTTATTGTGCCGCCAGGTGCACCAATTTCTCCACCGAGTCAATCATGCCCGAAACCAACTCCGGTTCCACGACACCCTTCTGCCATCCAAACGACAGGACCAAACAGCCATCACTACCCGAGATCGCCGACACCACGATCGCGGCGCCCGCAGCGTTGGGGCTCTGCGAGAAGATTACCCGACCCATCTGGGGCTTCGAAGGGTCTGACCGGGCCTCATCCGACGCACTCAGGACCCCGATATTCGAAAGCTCGATACTCTCCCCACGAGGCTTCCCAAGCTTCGATCGGAAAAACTCCGAGAAACCGGACACGTACTTGAGGAGATTCACGCCGGTGTTCTTCCCCTTCATCGCGACCACGCGCTCGATCGTCTCCCGCGAGCGCTGCGCCTCCTTCCAGGGGAAGGCCCCTGCGTCGGTGACGGGCAGGCTCTTGCGCCAGTAGCTCTCCCCGAAGTCCATCACCCAGACGCCCAGCGACTTCTCCGGGATCGGCTGGGTGAGCCACTTGCGGACGGAGATGGCGCCGGTGAGCCGCAGCTTGGTGCACTGCGGCGGTAGGTGCGCGAACAGCGCCTGGGCCATGGCCGCCTGGACGGCGGCCGTGACGGTGGCGCCGTTGCGGCGACAGCTCTGGCGGAAGGCCGCCGACACCGCGGCGGGGATGACGAGGTGGCGCGCCCGCGCCTCGAGCGGCGTGAAGACCGGCGCGCCCGTCCAGAGCCCGCGGTCCCGCCCGCCGAACTTCATCTTGACCACCGCGCCCAGCAGGAACGGGAGCGAGATGCCGCAGGGATGCGCGGCCTCCAGGTTCGGCGGGAGCGGCGTGCCCGCCGGCGTGGCCACGATCTGCTTCGCTCCCTCGCCGCCGGGCGCCGTGCTGCTCAGTGCCGACCCGGCTGCGGTCAACGCCTCCAGGAACGTCTCCTGGAACATCTTCCCGGACGTGCCGTCGCCCAGCGCGTGGTGGAAGATATACGCGGCCGTGAACCGTCGCCGCGCCGATGCATCGTCGTTGTCCTCGTCGTCGGCCGTGAAGATCGCCAAGCGCCAGTACGGTGCCCCCGGCGTCGTGAACCCGGTACTGTGCTGCGTCTCAAGAAATTCGTCCAGCTCCGTGTCGGTGGCGTCCCCTTCGGGAAATCCCCGCAGACGCTTGTGGAAGCTCACCGGCTGCGCGAGGTCGATCACCGGCAGGCGGACAAAGTATGCTTCGTCGGACTCCTCGTTCACGGGAACCGCCGAGAGGGCGGGATGCTGGCTGATTAGAATCTCGCACGCCTTGTACACATAGTCCCGCAGCGGACGCGTGTAGGTCTCCGGTAGCGTGTATGTGGCGGTGACGCCGACATTGTAGTAGAACCCGAGCGGATGGCGGGCTATAGAGTACTTCTCCAAATATCCTGGAGGCCGTGGAGATCAGTAACAGTGGTCCCATATCGTGGACCCCAGATAAACTCACCTGCTGCACGTAATCTTTCGTAATTCTCCATATTTGCAAAAGAATTGACCTCAACAACTACTAAATCGAAAAGGAGAGAAAATACCCCGATTTCACGTGACAACCAAAGAACAATAGGGAGAAAGTCTGGCAAAAGTCGAGATTGTTTTGACGAAGGAACGAAACAAACGGGCTCGGGGCGATAAGATAAGGTCCCCGACAATTGGGCCAACGGCTTTTATATCGGCTAGGCTCAAAACTCCGCGGTCGATGCCGTATTAGGAAAACTTTGCGACTTTGCTGCTGCCTACAAGATATAGGAAGTAAAGTATGGTACGGAGTGGCTGGGTGTCAATCCGAGATCATTTTCCGGTAGTGTTGGGACTAAGGTACCTAGATATATCTGCGCGGGTTTGGTTAAAGCAACCAACGAGGAGGAGGGGGTTTGTTTGTTTTGTAAGCACTGCATGATTGCCGGGTTGGGCAAGTCACGAATCACCTCTAAAGGTATGTGTATCCGAACTGAAGGGTCCAGCCAAGGAAAGCATCAATCAACCTGCAGGTGAACTGGCTTTTAGGGTGGGAGCTGGTCGAAAATGCCATTAATGATGTTTGGGATTCTGTTTTGTTTTGCCTTACAATCGCGGGTTCTTGAGCGTATGGGAGTTTACTCCAATAAGTTTGGCTATCCACTGTATCTGTTTACTGTACTAAAGCAAGATGATACTGCAGATTGCATGCATTCAAAATACGCAAAGCTGAAAGCAAGTAAAGTAGCAAGGCACGAGGTGTCTCCTCCAGTTTTGTCACATGTCCATGTCCTTCACATTAAGGTAGTATCGAAAACCATAGACAACTAAAATGAATATGTACAGGGTAGATACAATCGCCATATAAACAAGCGTTGTGTGGGAATTTATCGTCAAATCATGATCATTCCTTCGAAAATGTCATTCGTTGGGCTTTTTTATCATCTCGTTCTCTTTTTGTCTCACCCTCTCTCTCTCCAGCCATACCATCTGCGCAGAGCAGCATCCTTCCACGATTAAGGTGTGAGCATTGATGTAGCACGAAGGTCTTCGCTTCGTTTACAAAACAGCAAGACCACCGACAACAGCGGCACCGAGCATTCCCCAGGCAGCGGTCTGCAGAGGAACCGCAGCACCAGTGGAGGTAGCAGTGCTGCTGGAGCCGCTCGCGGAGGACGAGGAGCTGCTGCTGCTGCTGGACGAGGAGCTGCTGCTGCTGCTGGACGAGGAGCCGTCCTGGGCACCGCCGGTGGCGGTCGACTCGTTGGCGTTACGGTCCGCGGCGGCGCCGGTAAACTCGACAGCCTTGACGCCGGTGTTGTTCTTGCAGGTCGAAGGCTCGTCGTAGCTCACGGTCGAGGAGAATTGGATGTCGGCACACTGGTTCCGCCCAACTGGTTAGCAAAGCCGTTGCAAATCCAACAGCCAGGATTGACATACCGCATAAAGACCTCCAGATGGATCCCCGTTGCTCTGCACCTGGACGGTGGCGTTCATGCCGTCGGTGATGTTGGTGCCGAGGATGGACTCGTCGAAGGTGATGTGGGGCAGGCAGAAGGCACCCAGGCCCTCGATCTCGAAGGTCTTGTGCAGGGTGATGTTGAAGTTGGTGCCGGGGTCGGTGCCCAGGGCGAGGAGCACCTCGACCGCGGTCTGCGAGTGGCCCATGGACAGCGCGACGGGGAAGGAGCCGGCGGAGATGGAGACCTGAGTGCGGTTGGTGGACTGGGCCGCACTGCCGCAGGGGAAGTTGACCATGTTGTCTTCGCTGCCATCGCGGCTCGTGGGGTACTTGAGCTCGAAGTGGGCAGCGGCCAGGGGGGCGAGAGCCGCCAGGGGGAGGATGGAGAACTTCATGGTGATCCTGGGCGTCGGTGAATGAGGGGGGTGAGAGAGGTATAGAGGCACAGATCTTGCTACAGAAGGACAGAGGAGAGTGGGAGAACTTTATATAAGAACGGGGCAAGTGGGAGCGCCAGCAGTGAGTGGATTTGGACGGCGGATTCGGCGGAGGAGGAGGAGGAATGAGGAGAGCTCTGTCAGTTCGGTTCCGCCAAATTGATTAATGACCAAGACCGAAACTTCTTAGGCAGTCTACAAGATGGAAGGGACCCATGGCTGCAGTGCATCAATTGGGCCCTGAGTTTAGTTCCAAAGGGTTCGTTTACCCGCAATCATCCACCATCTTCATCCATTTCAATTCTGGGTTGTTCATCTATTCTCCTGCAGGGTGGAATTGGCAGCTCCCAGTCAAGGCTGGAACGGGCCCCGGGCGACACTAAGCCGAATTGAGTTAAGAAATGTGCTCATTTCTTCTCAGGGCGCGGGCAAATCCGAGGCAGTTCCGAGCCTGTCTTCGCTTGAGGCACACGCTCTTATCAGATAGAGCTATCAATCAGTTATTGAACAAACCGAGATTGTGTGAGCTTCACTAATTCAGAGGTAGAGGAGGTGAATATCAGCTTGCAGGAAGTCAATTAGCCTGCCATTTAGAAATCTTCCCATATGATGGTACGGGGCACCTGATCCATAATGTACCGAACTTCCTCTTCCGTCGCTTGAGTACGAGGTAGAACCAAAGATTCTCGTGCGGAGTAACCACCAGCCAAGTCACTCGGGCACTCACCACCAGAGATGACAGGCATCTCCGGTTCGCATCGAAACATCAGCCCAAGTAGAAAACTCATAATAATCCACCGATCATGGCGTCGATGAGCTTGTTCCAACGAATCTACTATATTTTAAATCCACCCACTCCCGCGAAGAAGGATGGCGCCATTCGCGTCGGTCTACTCGGAGCTTCCAACATAGCGTAAGCCAATCCTTGAAGCAGTAGTATGCAGTACTTGCGTTTCCATCCTGACTGATATCCTTCTAGCCCGAACTCAGTCATAATACCGGCCAAGTCCCATTCCGAGGTCATCATCGCAGCGGTTGCTGCCCGCGACTCAGACCGCGCTCAGCAGTATGCTAAGAGACACGACATCCCCATCGTGCATAGCTCATACCAAGGTCAAGCACGACCCCATCACCTGGCCCATCCGGGAAATTGGCATTACGAGGACCTAACAAATCTAACACCAGAGCAGAGCTCCTCGACGACCCCACCATCGACGCCGTCTACATCGCGCTGCCCAACTCGCACCACTACGAATGGGCCCTCCGCTCCCTGCAGGCAGGCAAGAACGTCCTCCTGGAGAAACCCTCGTGCTCCAACGCCACCGAAGCCCGCAAGCTCTTCACCCACCCGCTCGCAACCGCCCCCCATGGCCCCGTCCTCCTCGAAGCCTTCCACCACCAATTCCACCCGGCCTGGCAGACCTTCCTCTCCCTGACCCGCCAGACCCCCTGGGGCCCTGGTACCGTGGTCGACACATCCTCGCAATTCTACCTGCCCCGGGGCTACATCGCGCGCGATGACATCCGCTTCCAGTACGCCCTGTCCGGCGGATGCCTGATGGACCTGGCGACGTACCCGCTCTCCTGCGCGCGCCAGGTTCTGAACCTCTCGACGGAGCGAGAGGAGGACCTGGTGGTCGTGGAAGGCCAGTACACCCCACCCCGCCCGCTCAGCAGTTCCGACTGCCCTCCGTTTCACGATGCGCAGCAGATCGACACCGCCATCTCCGCCACATACCAGACCGCCGACGGCCTCCAAACAGCCCACATCGCAGGCGATCTGGCATACACAGCGGCAGCGGCAGCGCAGAACAGCAGCGGGTTCCTCTCCCTGCTACCAACCACCTGGTCCCGAGTCATGCCCTGGTTTGCGTGGCCCAGGACCGAGGCCATCCTCGCCGAGATCCTGGTGGCCTCGCAGGGCGGCACGGAGACGCAGCACTTCGTGCAGCGGACCGTCGCGATCTGGAACATGATCCTGCCGACGGTGTACCACCGCATCGACGTGCGCGACACACATACCCTCTACCGCAAGGGGAAGCTGTCCAAAACCTGGGAGGAGGTGCAGTACCTCAAGGCGTATAATTGGCCCGCGGGGGATCAGCGGGCGGAGACATATCAGGAGTGGTGGACGACGTGGCGGTGTCAGTTGGAGGAGTTTGTGAATCGGATCAAAGGGAGGAAGGGGTCCGGGGTGTGGGTTGATGGCGGGGAGAGTGTCAGGCAGATGGAGGCGGTCGATAAGACGTACCGGCGGGTGGGGTTGGAGGTTCGGCCAACGAGTGCGTTTGATGTGTGAGGGGTTTTTGTTTTTAACTTGTGTTTGGGGGTAATTTTGCTTGTGCTTGCGAATTGTGGACAGTTATCTCGTACAGCGTTTCATCTGACTCTTCAGTTGTAATTGATTGATCTTTGCTCTCTTGTCTTCTTGTGAGCTCCGCATGGACTTCCCTAAATCGCAATTCATGGAGCAACAAAACGTTGAATCTTGGCAGGACGCCTATTTCCGCGCCAATGAGACCCGGCCGATCGACGGTGGATCATGCCATATTGCGGCTGTCTCCGGCCAACCTGCAAGCGACACTCGCCGGCTGAACATGAAGGGTTTTATTGTTGTTGCAGACCGTAATTGCAGACCGTAACGTTCTACATCGAGGCTTATTGATCGCTAAACAGTTTACGGTCAATGATGATATGTACGTATCTTCAGCATCCATGTCTATATACAATCCACCCATCCACACCCCACGGGACATAGAAAACACCAGCTATGCCTCAGACGAGCCGAGCCCATCGTCAACTAAGTATATCGTAAACGGTTCGTGTCGAAAAAAAAGGTATCTCAGAGTAAAACAAACCCCCATGCTAAGCCGCAATGCAAGCAAAACCCAACGCCCACTCAACACCAAAAGAACACAGCAAGGAAAAGCAGTTCAGTGATCATGTTCATTCCACTGAATATACCGACCCACCGCGAGTTCCCCAAGGAACGCGCCGGCCAGGACAGAGCAAAAGTAGCCCACGTTCATGGTCATGACGGCCAACATGCTGCAGCGATACACCATTAGCTTTGAGTGGGCCCGATGGAAAGGCACTGAGAGGGGAGATATGCGGAGACGTACAGTAGATACGACACGCCCGTGATGACGAGGAAGATCAAGGCGCGGGGCAGATCCACGCTGAAGCGCCAGGGGAGGGGCTCGCGGGCGGTGCGGCGCACGACGCGGACGCTCTCCTCGACGCCCTGGGCGGTGATGAGCGTGGCCCCCTTGGCGTCCGGGTCGGCGTCGATGCGGCCCGCCTCGGTGGATTTGCCCGCCACGACGACGTACCGCCGCTGCAGGTGCGCGCTGAGCCACCGCTGCTCCATCAGCGCCTTGAAGGCCACCAGCAGCCGGCCGATGATGGCCAGCACGATCAGGAAGATGCACGTGCCCGCGTAGCTGCCGCTGGAGGTGGGCGTCCATTGCGACGAGAAGAGCGGGGTGGAGTGGCTGTTGGTGAAGACCATGGCCATGGACATCGAGGATGAGGAAGAGCTGGAATCCATACTGCTCATGTCCATGATGGGCGCGGGGTTGGAGGGGTAGGTTGGTTTGGCTTTTGCGGGCTGATGGAGGGTGGTGGTGGTGGTGGTGGTGGGTGGTGGTCTCGGATATAAGGTGATCAGATTGATTTCGGGATGAAGGTGGTTTTTGTAAGATGAGAGAGCATCAAAGAATCAAGACAGCGGACAAAGTTAGTTGAAAGGAAGAGGATCAAGAAAGAGGAGAAGAAGAAAGAGGAGCAAGAAGAGGGCCGACCCGCGACGATATCTTAGCCATGGCGGGCCACCACCAGCAGTCAGTTCTGGATCCTTGAGTTTGATCAAGCCGGGACGGGCGATAATCATGTTCTACCTAAATTGAAGCGAAGACCTTCATTCCGAGATTGAGCACATTTTGGCCCGACTCGGTTTGGCGCTTGAGCACATTTTATGTCCAACGAGCCAATCACGGGGCGCGGAATCGCCCGCCAGCCCGAAAGCAGCGGACAAGCGGGCGGTGGAGGTGAGCAGATTATGACTACTTCCATTCGCTTGCAAAGTGAGAAGATTATTATCAATTCAATTCCTGGTTATCATGGCTCCAGACAGGTGGGGATGGCACTGGGCATGGCATGCATGGCTGTTTAGGTCTGCTCTTGTGGAATGGTCCCATCCAGCCTTGTCTTGTCTACCATGCATTTCCCCCCCCACCCATGATTTTATTCCAATTTCCAACTCATCACTTAACTTACCCACTTACTCTTACTCTTACATGTATTCATGACGCCGCACACCACTGCGACATGAAACTCTGAATAGCCGACAACCTCCCCCTCCTCTCAGTAACAGACGGGTTGTGTGTGTTGTGTTGCTGCTTTAAAACGAGATGCGTTGATATTCCGGCCCTCCCTTTCCGTATATCGATTGTCCTTCACCAACTCCTCCCGGGGATAGTGTCGTTTATTGTCCGTCCATCTATATTCGACCCCCGCTAATCACCGCCAAGATGGACATGGACATGTCAATGTCGGGCATGGGCCACATGTCCATGGGGGCTGGCGTGCCCGGTCTCTTCTATCTCCAGAAAATGTACTGGGTGGTCATAGGCAGTGCTATCGCCGCGGGTACCGTGGTGAACCTCCTCAACCGCTACCTTGCCTATCAAAGGTCAGTGAATTCTTCATGCAGGCCGAATATTGCGGTGCTCACCTATGCAGACTTCGGGATACCTCCCTCACTCCGTCCAAGCCCAAGTCACTGTTCTTCAACACATATGCCACTCTCACGGCAATTGTCCGCGAGGCAAGCTATGCGACGCTGCCTCCCGTATCGATCCGCAGCCATACCTTCCACTTCGCGCCATTGGGGCCAGTGGCTGTTGTGTTGGCTAATCTGGTTGTCGTACTTGTCTTCTGCTTCTACAAGCTAGACACCACGGATCAATGGAGCTGGGAGGATGTGGGCTACCGGACCGGATTCGTGGCCATCGCGCAGTTGCCCCTGGTCTTCCTGCTAGCCGGGAGACAGAATCTCATCGGTGCCCTGGTAGGCATGAGCTATGAACGGCTGAACTGGTACCATCGCTGGGTGGCCCGAACGCTCTGGCTGACGGCCACGATCCACATGGCCTTCTGGTTCCGCGACTGGGGTCGCTACAACTATATCTCCTACGAAATCAAGAACTACCCCTTGATTGCTCGAGGACTAGCTGCGTGGGTCATTTTGACCTGGATTGTGATCACCTCCGCCGCCCCGATCCGGAGGTTCGGATATGAGTTCTTTGTCCTGCAACATCTGGTCACGTTTGTTGGATTCATCGCGGCCGTCTGGCTGCATGCACCGGCGGAGGTCAAGGTCTGGGTCTGGATTCCGATAGGGTTCCTCATCTTCGACCGCGTGGCGCGCTATATCTGGGCCACATATATCAATCTGTCGATCTTCCATCGCTCAAAATCTCCAAGCCATGCCCTCTGGGCCAACAGGGCGACTTTCACGCCTCTGCCGGGCAACGTCACGCGCGTCACGATTGAGAACCCCGGGGTCAGCTGGAAGCCAGGTCAGCATGTCTTTCTCACATGCCATTCGATTGCTCCGCTCCAAAGCCACCCTTTCACCATCGCGTCCATCCCCGAAGACAACAAGCTCGAAGTCTTCGTCCGCGCCGAGAAAGGCGGAACCCGTCGGTTCTTCCGCTACGCGTCGAAGCGCCACCATATGCTTGGGACCAGAGAGACCGCGTCCACTAAACAGACGCGGACGGTCTTCCTTGAAGGCCCGTATGGTCAGATGAGGCCGCTGCAGCAGTTCGACAGTGTCATCCTCCTGGCGGGCGGAATGGGCGTGACCTATACCATCCCGTGCTTGCGAGACATCGTGGCCAAGTGGAAGAAAGACTGCGCGCAAGGTGGCGCTTCGCCCAAGCACCTCGCGGCGACCAAGCGAATCCGATTCGTGTGGGTGATCAAATCACGCACCCAGCTCAGCTGGTGTGAGAGCCAGCTGCAGTCCGTCCTGGCCGACGCGGAAGAGTGCCAACGAGCAAATGCCGACCTCATCCGCGAGATCGAGTTGAGCATCTACATCACCTGCGACGAGAAGCTGGAACAGCCGACGCAAGCCACTCTCTGCGCACAGACACCATCCACCGCCGTGGCCCAGTCCCGCTCATCCATGGAAACGACCGACGAGAAATACACCGAGAAGATCGTAGAGAAGGATGCTATCTCCATCAATGACACCGGCTGTCTACCCGGCGGAGGCTGCTGCTGCACGGCAGCCATCGAGGATGAAGATGTGATCACAAGCAAGTGTACCTGCTCGGGACACGCCGCGACGGCTGCTGCACCGTCAGGGTCCGAGAAAGCCGCGGGCCCGCCAGGATCCCCGGATACGAAACCGGCACCCACCATGCGCCCCCTGACGATCCTGTCTGGTCGGCCTCAGGTCCGGACTGTCATCCGCAAGGTCCTCGAGCGGGCGGAGGGGGAGAGCGCCGTGGTGGTCTGTGGGCCGCAGGGACTGTCGGACGATACGCGGCGCAGCGTGGTGTCGCTGAGCGACGAGCGCGCCGTGCACAAGGGGACGGGCGCCCAGGGGATATATCTGCATATAGAGCAATTTGGGTGGTAGAGCCTTTTGGTCGGGAAATGATGTATATACGATAATGATAGATACCATGATTGTTCGTTGATATATTGAAGCACAGTATACTCGGCTTTCCGCAAGTACTGTACTCTGAAAAAAAGAATGCTCAGTGAGACTACAGGTGTAGCTCTCTAATAGCACCAAGGATTCGCCGAACAATATCCCGGAGGATACCACCAAAACTGTAAACAAAAAGGCCTACAACATAAGAAATCAGCAATGCAAATGCAACAATCAATTGTACGAGTATCTATCACAACCATGGATTGTGGTAAAGATGACTCAGTCCCCCATGACGTAATCAGCAACCGCACCTCCGCTCAGCTGTAGTAGTCCACGGTAACCACCGCCATTTCCCAATGCAGACCCCGACTCTAACTGCCTGCACTGCACAACTACCTTCACCACCTTCACCACCAGCACCATCAGCACCACCAGCACCACCAGCACCAATCCCACCCAACAACCCAACAACCCAACAACCCAAACAACCCAACAACCCAAACAACCCAAACAACCCCGTCCCCTCCCAACAACAACAACGAGCACAACCCCAAAAATCAAAATGGTTTTCCGCTTCGTACGTCCCCAAACCCCCATCCCCCTCCCAAAGTTTCAAAAAAAAAACTAACCCTTCCCCCAAGGCCAAAACCCTCGACCCGATAACCCTCTTCCACACGCCCAGCAACCCGGCGAGCAAGAACGCGTACAAGATCCTGCAGCGGGCGTCGACGCAGGCGCAATCGCCCGACGCGCCGGCGGGCGGGCGCGGCGAGTTCCAGCTGGAGGTGACGACGGCGCCGCCGACGACGGACCAGCTGCGCAACATCCTGGACTATGTCACCGGGAACCCCGCGGGGGCGGGGGCGCCGGACAAGGGGTCGCGGTGTGCCGTCGGGGAGGTGGTGCGCGGGGCCAAGGATGCGGAGGAGGCGATTCGGCGGTTCAAGGGGGATCCCGAGGGGACGTTTGTGAGGCCGATTGTATGTTTACTTACCTCTTACACTTTACATCTCGGGGTTTGGGAAGGGGGGGGGATAAGGGGGAGGGAGGATTACTGGGTTTGGGGCGTATGGGATCAGTTGTGCTAACCTTTTCTTCTTCTATTATAGACAGTCGATTGGACGAATGGGCAGGCGGTTGTTGGGGATAATGAGTCGGAGATTTTGAAGATGGTGCAGCAAATCAACGAGAATTGATGCTTGAAGAAAGGAGGACGGTATTACTTACAACGACCACCACCACCACTCCCAAATGCTTGCAGACCGTTAGGCATGTATTTCTACGATACGCTGTATCATACACTTCTCTCCTCCTATTCTCTGGCAAATACCCGTGCTGCCATTTCCATGCCATCCCCATGCCATAGCCATTAAAATATCATGTCATACTCGCTCAATTGAACTCCGACCCGAGACCCAGCTCGTGCTAGAATGGACCCATGCAAAAGAAAACTAGAACATCGTGCCGAAGCTGCCGTCCGTTGCGATCGGCTTGCGCGGGGAACTGCGTCCCATGCCATCCATGGCAGGCTTGCGGTGTCTATTCACAATCAGTAATGGCGTTTGGCAACTGAGGAGACAACATCAACCCACCGGAATGTGAATCCTACAAACAGGCCCTTGCCCATCTTCTCGTCGCGTTCCGCCATCTCCTCCAGGGCCCGTTGCTTGTCATGAACTTCCTTGTACTTGGCCATGTCGGCCTCATTCGTGAAGTCGTCGAAATATCCCGCGTCCGTCTCCGAATCCAGCTCGGGCACAAACGGCGCACGCTGCTCGCGCAAGCGACCGAAATCGACTTCGCTGAAGTAGTCGTGGGAATGGATCTCCTGGATGTTCTTGAACCGCTGGTCCTTGGCAGCAACCAGCTTGGTGATCAGGTCCCATGTCCGGCGCGACAGAAAGTAGTTGGGGTCTTCATAGACGGGCTTGCGCAGCACCTTCTGCCAGTTCTTCAGGTTCTGCCAGGTCTCGTCCACCGTCGATCCCGCGAACGGCGGGTAACCCGCCAATGCTTCAAACAGCATGCATCCTAAGCTCCAGTAATCCACCGTAAAGTCATACTCCTCTCCCTTGAGGACTTCGGGCGCCATGTAGTCTGGTGATCCGACAATAGACTTCGCATAGTTGACTTGCCGCTCACGAAGCGACCGATAGCCTTGGCGACGCTCTGTCACCGTGCGCTGTTCCATCGGACGTCCGAACGGCACCGGAGTGTTACCCACCTCCTCCAGCTTCACGCGCATAGATTCGATCTTGCCTGGGTTCAGCATTCCAGCTGCCAGGCCAAAGTCGGTCAACTTCACGTGACCGGTCGAATCAATCAGAAAGTTCTCGGGCTTTAAATCGCGGTGGATATATCCCAGTGCGTGGAGCGCATCGATGCAGCTGAACATTTCCGCAATGTAGAACCGAGCATGGCGGTTGTGCAGCACTCCGGTGTTGTTCAACAAGGTGCGGAAATCACCGCCCGGGACATATTCCATCGCCAAGTAAATTTGATCCTCATCCTGGAAAGCGTAGAGCAGCTTCACCAGCCACTCACTCTTGGCCGCTGTCAAGATATCACGCTCCGTGAGGATGTGGCGGATTTCGTCCAGCTTGAAGAGTAACTTCTTGCTCATCACCTTCAACGCGCACACTTCCCGCGTATCCTTCTTCTGTGCCAAGTAAACCTGCCCGTATCCTCCCTGTCCGACCTGTGTCAATATTTGGAAATCATGCTGGCGAAGTCTGGTTCGGCGCTTGCGAAGGTGGGCCCGCTCCCGACCCAAGTATTTCATGAGTGCGGGTTCGTATTCCTCCATCGACGTCAGGGGTGGTTCCGGGTACGCGGCGCGAAACTGCGTGTAGCGATTCTGTCGGTTGTGGACATAGCTCAGCAGATCGAAATAATGATCGAGGAAATCTACGTAGTCAGTACGATGGGCGGAAACGCTTCGGATGCACAAGATTCAACAGGAGACCTACAAAGTTGGGTGACGTTGACAAGACGCTTGACCCGGGGGTTCTGGAGCTTCTCTAGCTCTTCCGGCGTCAGACCCCGCATGGGGACCTGTCGCCGCTGGATGCTCTCCAAATCACGGGTTTGGTATGGCTCATTTCTGGAAATCGCGGCGGCTGCAGGGTTCGGGCCCAAATCCTTAGCGAAACGCGTCGAGTTCGGAGGCGTGTTTTCTTTATTGGATCTGCGCGTAGGGCTGGCGGGCGGTTGTCGGATGACGCTCTCGTTGAAATCCTCCCCCGCCCGGGGCGGAGAGAACATGGGATGGTTGTAGTGGTTATTTGTGTTCTTCGTCGGCGAGGTGGGATTCAGTTTCAGAGCTTTCTCAAATACATTGGGCAGATCAATCGCGCCGGGGGGCAGACGATTCTTGCTGGGGCTTCCTTGAGGGGTCTGAACGGGGCTAGTGAAGGCAGTCTCGGCCGGCGTCGAAGGACGATCCAGCAGTTCGTTGCCGGCACGTGTATGAAGGAGGGGTGGCGGATGTGGGAGGCGGAACCCGGATCGGTCACTTGTGTCAATATTGAGAGCCATGATGGGCGCAAGAGCATAAGCTCAGGGACGGGCGAAACGGGCGCAATTAGCAATCGCGTGGTCCTTGGGTGCCCGATGTGTGACTCCGCCGACCGGGACAGCTGGTGACAAAAAGTAACCCGGGGATTGAGGAGAATTCCCAACCACACAAGGGGAGACAGGCGCACGTTAAGTCACGACCAGAAGAGCGCTAGAAGAGGGGAGAGAAACTGAAATCAGGGAAAAAGCAAAAAAAAAAAAAAAGGCCAGATTGAAGCAGCAACGCAGCGCCACGAGTATCGGACAATCTGAATCGCCCTCGTTGGGTACGAAGGGATAGAGCAGAAAAGATCAGTCGATTTGATGGAATGATAATAGAGCTTCTTATTGTAGGCCTTGCGTTTGAGTCAACTGGGGCGAGCTGAAACTGTGCGCAAAGCTAGTGAGGGTAAAGAACAGGAGAAGAAGGGGAGAGGCGAGAAGAGAAGAGAAGAGAAGAAGGAGCGCTGAGGTTGTAGAAGAAGTTGAGTAGAGTAGAGTAAGAGTAGTTACTAGTAGCTTTAAGGCGCCCCGATGATGATGCCTTCTTTTTTCTTCCCCCTTGGTAAAAATGGCAGTAGCCAGCAACCAGAGCTCTTAAGAGTAAAGAGCAACAGTGGCAGTAACGTTAATAGCAGTAAATTAATTAGTAGCAGCAATAGCAGCAGTTCCCCGCCTATAGACAGGTTGAGCCAGCCACACACCATTTAGTACCACCAGGTCCAGTCCACCACCTGCCTTGTCTGGACTATTGTGGACTCTTCCAAATTCTCTTGGTCTTTTCCCTCTTTTCCCTCTCTCCCCTTCGGCTTCTTCTTCCACCTCTTTTCTTATTCGAGTACTCCGTACCTACCCTTCTCTCCACCCCCCCGTGGCTGTCAGCCAACGAGAATCCTCCGATGGGTTGCAGTACCCCTCGAGGAGCTGACGGTTGCCGGGTCAACTCCCTTGTTCCGATCTTCATTGGCATTGCGATATTGCACAGCAATCTAAATCTTGTTCCTGGCTAATTGATTGGGGGAATCGTGAGGCTGAGGAGGTATCCCGAGCAGGTACCAGATCCATAACCCTAGTCCTGTCGACTCTCAGCTGGCATTTCAATGGGTCAATTGATATCTAGTCCGATCGACCGCGATCCATGGGTCCGATCGGATGGTGACAGGATAAAGTGGACGGGAGATGGACTGATAGGCTCCCCTTACTAGGTGGATGTGCTTGTCAATATGATTGTTAACAATAGGGATGATACGAATTGTGGAACATACAGAGAAGGGAGAGGGAGAGAGAGAGAGAGAGAGAGAGTCGAGAGAATGAGGTAGAGTATTCATCCATTGTCATCCGAGAATGAGATGAGCCTGACCGATACCATTTTCGTTTCTCACCCTCTCTCTCCATCTCCACTCCACAACATCGGTGCCTGTCTATCCATCCCACTCCCCACACCCCTTCCCCTGCGAGGGGACAGATGACTAGTTACTACCGACTGTGCACGAGGTCTCCCCGGCAATCATCACTACGTACGACTACAATACCGGAATGAATCCCAGTCAGATCCCAGATGTTTCAAGTGTCTCGCATGTGTTCATTGTTCTGCTTTCTACTATGCACTTCCATACCAGCTAATTAAACTCAGATGCCTGATCGTATCCTCGTCATTCCTTTGCCTTGTTTTATTTTTCTGGGTTGATTGATCTCTGGGCAACGGCCGTCAACAAACTTGGAAAGGTGCGAGGGCAAATGGGGGCCCATCCCCTCCGATGAACCATGGATCGAGATGTGACCCATTTATCGACGGCACAAAAACCCAACCTCTTCTCTTCCGCTCTCTTTTTCACTCTTATCATCATTTGGTCTAGGCTGAAATCCTTCAGCCCTCCCGTCCTTTGATCCAGCAAGGAAAGCCAAGGCATCAGAAATGACATCATCATCACCAATAACTTCTCCCCGCTTCCATTCTTCATTTTATCCCAGCTTCTTTACAAGACGCCCTTGGCCCGTTGACCCGTCTGCCATTCCCATTGCAGTTAGTGACTTTTTCTTTCTTTCTCTTGAATCGATCGGTCGGCAATGAGGAGTGTGGGCAGCGAGAGGAGAAAACTCGGCACTTACGTAGAAAGCCAGCCCATAGGAGGGAGTGGTGAAGGTGATCTTGGCACCCTTGGGGAAGTGGAAGACATCGCCGGGCTTAGCCGTGACCTTCTGCCCGGTTTCGTCGGAGATTTCGTACTCCCCCTCGAGGATAATCTTCATCTCGTCGTAGGAGTATTCGTAGGTCAGCGGCGTGCCCTTCTCCAGGCGATAGAAGCCGGCCGACATGGGTTTCTCCGGGTTGTAATCGTCCCTGCAGGTTGTTGTTTCATCCGGTTAGCAACCAGCCAGAAAAGCAACCGAGCAACCACCACCACCCTTGCATAGAGGGAGATGAGATGAGGACTGTGCGCACGCCTGCATCACTGGCAAAAGGCAAATCCGAATTGATTTATCTCAAAACAGAATAGCAACGATACAGCAAAAACAAAGACAAAAAAAAACGTACGATGAATCCACGTCCCCCAGGAAGGCATTCTCGTTCGCGATGAGAGGAGGCTTGAACGTCGACTGCGCCTGCTGGTGGTATCTGAACGCGACGGGCATCTTTGCAAGATTAATTGGTCTGTCTGTATGAATGTGGAACACGTGCGTAGGCAGGATAAGTAAAGAGAGGATCGATGGAATAATTACTGTTTAGATCTGATGACTTCGAATCTGAATCAATGGTCCCAGGGGATGCTGCTGCTCTTTTATAGAACAAATCTACCATCAGACTGATTGATGCCTTCGAGCCATCCCATGCCGACTATTATCGCAATCATTCTGATTAAGTGTAATAATGATAATGAGAATCTCAATTCTTTTGCCCTTCTGAGGGAAAAGAGAGAGACCACCACCATGGCGCACGGATCTACCTTCTACAGTAGGAGATTCACGATGGGTTCCTCGTTCTCCCAAATGAGGGGTAGAGAGAGGCTCTCATTGCTTGGATGAGGGGTACAGTACTGTACAGCTTTCGAGGCGAGTTAGTGCTTTCTTTACCTGTGGACTGGTCTGCTGTTCTACTGACCTGGATGGGAGATATTAGCCAGGTCGCTGGAGCTTGGGGTTGCAGGAACTGAAAGAAAGTAGATACCGGTGGTGGTGTAGGCGAAAGGCGAGAGGGGCAGGATCTTTGCTTGTCCACGGTGGATATTGATAGAGAGCTGGACCGCAGACAGGAAACTTTTGCCTGGACGGGTTAGTACTTCCGCTGCTTGTCAGGTGGAGGTTTAGTGAGTGAGTGAAGTGGGCAGGGCATGCATGGGCGATAGACCCTCCTCCCCCTCACTCGCTATCTACAGTACTTCTATCTTATCACCTCACCAACCTAAGTCAGATACCGTATCCCACTGATTACTGCCAGGGAAGGAAGGTCGCGAACAGCTCTAGGCTCTCACTATACTGTCCTCCGTACCTTGGCCGCATTAGGTCTGAATGCGATGGACTGTTGAGTAAAGTCCAGCGATCTCATCAGTGCAGTAGTGAAGGTAAAGCAGATGAGTAAGTGGGGTGGGCGCACTGCAGACCAAAGAGACACAGCACAGACTGGCCCGTGCATGCCAGTTCTACCATCTAGAAAGACAATACAGCGAAGCGTACCTTAGTCTTAAGCACTCTGTGCAGGTGTAGGAAAGCGAAGGCCCAAGCAAGTAACCAAACACCTAACCGTGGACTAGAAGGGCATTCGGTCCTTTCTTCCTGTCTCTCCCTCCATCTTCACGGCCTGCCTGCGGCTATGCCTACTGTATTCTGCTCCGCAAGCCAGTCCATTTTCGCACCCACCTCTTCTCCTGCTACAGCACCCACAGCACAGCACAACATCCCCCAAACTAAGGTGCAGACCTTTCCCTAAAGCACCACCCACAAGTATTGCTCATGCACCTCTGCCGTCATCTAACACCACTCACTCCCCTTCTCTCTCTTTCACACACTCTCCAGGCTCGCACCATCATCATCCGAATCAGCCCATCAAAAGTCAAATCTTCCCTTGGTCTCTTCCCCCCCCCCTCATAACAGGTTAAAAGTACTATTCCCTATACGTCGAAAATCACAGGGAGAAGAAGTCCGAGGTTGTCGCGGCGTCGGGTCCCACCCACACTTCAGACTGTGTTAAATAGTGTTCTATTCTCACCACCCGCTTGATCTGGCTATTACTACCTCTCTTTCCCTCCCCGCCCCCTCGACCTCTATTCAGTCTTTTGTAGCTGATTGCGAGAGAGACGATTTATCAGCACTCACGACACTATCAAAGGCAACACACCAAACAGCCCAAGCAACTCCATCGGTCGAATCTCGCCCCATTCCCCGCACGCGAAAAAATCCGCCCTATGCGAATTGTGACCGTCCTCTGTACCATCCCGTGCAGTCATCAATCATCCAGCGAGAGCACCCAGGCGACAGACACAAGCTTGAAGGACTCAGCAATCTCCCTCCCCACCGGTACGGTATATCTCAAGTAGACAGTTGTATTCGATCAGCCGTTCACTGTCCACCGCGCCAACTGCCGATCGAGATACTTGAGGGTCGATAGCAACATACTTCATACTCCTAGCGATCCTGTCACCGTTCTCCGTACAGTGACAAGCTCCTTTCAGGCATCTGGCCCTGTCCTACGCGCCAAAACTCCGTGCCAAAGTCCCTCGCAACAACTACAAAAGAAGCCCCATTGCAGCAATAATCCTTGGGAATTTGCCTTCAAGGCCGTATAGAATGTGATTGCTTCGCTCAACCAAACCACAAACAAAAGCCCAAAACTCTGGAACGCCATGCTAATCACTCCCAGTCCAGATCTGTAAGCCCAGCCCACGATTTTTTGGAGGATGAGCTATACCCTCAAGAAGTCACAAACCCACTGCGTGGTGCTCGCCGCACGTTCCGCAGATCCCAAAGAGGCCGCTCCACAGCCCCGCGCAACAATGGCGACAGTGGCCATGACGAGCGACCTAGAGCCATATCTGGCCTCCCTCCGGTCGTACTTGACCCAGAGCAGGCCTCCGCACCAAGCCGAAGCGGATTCCGAAGACAGTGCGACCGAGACTCCTCGACTTCCGGAGCGCCGGACGGTGCAACGCGAGCAGGCAAGCTCGAAAGGAGGGAGAGACAACAGTCGTGCTGGCCCGCGGAGATCAACCGTGGAGGATCCACCGTGCTCAATCTGCTGATAATGAAGATCGCTTTTTGAGTGAAGTTTTACCCCAAAAACACTGTACATATGAGCCGATGGCCGTCGCAAGATTATGAACGAGAGGCTTTCTTGGGTGCATGATCCCAAGAAAAACAAAACGGAAACCAGAAGAAATGCAAACAAGATATCTTACCTTCCCAACCCCATTCCTGCATCACATTGACCCAATGCAAATTTCCACGAACAGTCCTATCAAATTCGATATTTTCCAGCGGAGAGATTGCCGAGGTCCGTCGTGGCTTCCCCAAAGAGCCCTTAGAAGGTACCCGATCGGCCATACTCGATCTTCTCCAAGGCTCAGCAAAGCTGCTGGTGAAGCCACGCTCACCTGACCCACGGCCTACATTTGTTGTCTTATCAATCTGAAGCCTTTTCGTGGGTAAATGATCGGACTGCTCAAGCCCCGCGGCATCGCGGCGATCCCAAACCTCTCGGACAATCTCGATGCAACGATCAATAGACCCAAGCATGAGACGTGATTGGATTGCTAGCCATCGATTTAGCACCCACTGGCGATCCTCCTCTTGCTCTGCTTCACACCCAGCCGCCAAAAGAGGAAACATTTGGATGATGGTGGTACGGGAGCTGGGGGGAACTGTGGCCAGCAGCATCAAGACACGCTTGGACAGCTCCGATGCTGGCTCGGAGGGCATTTCAGGAACCGCTTGGTGAAGGTACAACAGTGTCGCCCAGCGGTAAGCGTGTGCGGTTTGGATACTATGCTGTACCTCCGACGTGGGGTCATCTGGGGGTTCGAAGCAGCGGGGGGGCTCCCATTGCTCAACTAGGGTTTTCAATTCTATGGCCTGCGAGACAATAGAGAGGGAGTTGGACTCAGTTATGCGAACTCGCTGGATCAGGCGCGCGACTTGGTGGATTAACGGGAAAAGGGTTGTCGCGCAACCCATTAGAGGGTCGATCTCGTGCACTGCATCCTTGGGCAACTGGAAAACAGAGGTATCTACCTCCTGATCCCCGGATTCTTCACGGGATGTCAGGCGAGAAATCACATCCATGTATAGCCAGGTGTTATACAGAAACCGAATTCTATCCAGGTCACTGCCGCACATCCCGCTTTGAAGACCAAATCCTACAACCTGTGACACCAACGCCTTGGCTCCCCGCAAGTGCTGGATACATGTGCGCGTATGCTGATCCCATGTCTCCGCAAATGCCAGCGCGAGACTCGTGGCCAAGGCTGCATCTGCTCTCATATTTTGTATGTCGTGCACCATGTAGGTGATGCTCTGCCGCATATGATCCATCCCATGAACCCTGAGGCTCGGGATCTCCTTGCTGGAGTGAAATGCCGCTAGAGAAAATACGGCATGATATAGCGCTGGGGTCTCCTTGGCTAGGGGCCAAATCAGTGTCCGCCATGGGTTCTCGTGGGCACCGTCCTTCACAGACAGGATCCCACATGTGAATCTGTCGAACTGCAACACCAGCATTTCGGGACTGACCATGCTAAAATTTGGCTCTGAGAGGATCTTCGGGGTAAGATTTGTATTCTTGGCCTGCGCAGAATTGATGCACTCTGTGCTGTTTAAGAAAGTCGACCCCAGAGGAAGTTCTGACTTCCTTATAATCTCCTCAATGTCATCGTTTTCGACCTCCATTAAGGCCTCAAAGCTAAAACTGTGGTGCCTTGGCGGGCTGTCGTGCTGGGAAACGCCACCTAGGGTGGGTCTAGATTGCATCCCCGCATTAGACAGTGACACATCGGAAATATAGGAGGATGGCTCCAGGGGTGGAATCTCGATTAGTGATGGGGCTAGGATGCCTTCATTGAGGCTTGCTATATCTAGCGGGCCTATGAGATCATCCGTAGGGACAAAGAGATGTTGCTTTGGTACTGCATCCACCTTTGCACGCCCTGGAGTCGGCTCATCCCCTTTCGAAAAGCCATGCGCGAGTGCAGACCTTTCACTCCCTGGTGAGAAGAGAGGCAAAGAATTAGACAGGGTTCTCGACCACCCCTCAGTGGACTGCGAGTCCGGAGACGTAGAAAAGTCAAGGCTAGACTTCCGACCCGGGGGTGATAAGATGGCTTTGGGACGTTCATGTCAGCAATGTACAAAAGCCAACGATTCCATATCAAGTAGGGCTACCTTTTTTGCTTTTCGTCGACACGTTCTTGCAGCCGACGTTAGTCTCTTCGAAAGGGCGCCATTTGAAATCTTTCTTGTATCCTCCACACTCCACCTTCCGTTTCTTACATTGAAGGCACGTCGGCTTGGATTCGTCACATTTCAATCGTTTTGCCTTGCAGGTAATACAGCCTGGGTTATAGAAATGATAAGAACGTCAGCGCACTGCGCACCCTGAGAACGTCTGTGCCGCCTTCTCTCTGATGCTGTAGTTTCACCCGAGAACAACTCTGTTCCCGTCTGTCGTCTCATTAGGGTACTAGGAATGAATGGTACCGTACCGTTACGGCTTTTTGACTGCTTCGGTTTGTTAGGATCCCTGGAGGCACCAGGCTGGCTTGAGGTGGACCTCTGAGAGGAAGAAGGAGGCTTAGAAGGCCCTTCTGTTGACGGAGGCGAAGGTTGAATGTCTAAGATCGCAGACGGAGAAGGGATCTTAATGTGTTCCATGCCCAAATTAGACCTGATGATGACATGGACTCCGCCAGGTTTAACGTAGTAGTATGCGATGGAGAGGAGAGAAGGCTAGAAGTTTGGTTGTTTATTCGGTCAGGGAGAATAATGCCGCAGAGTATAAGCTAGGCGGGCGAAGGAGCAAGAAATCACGATCTGCTCGATCCGGGTTGTGAACGAGATAAGGCTCTTTAGAAGAGCCAGATGGCAGAATAAGCAGCGGAGATAGGAAAGGTGTGGGTAGATGATAGATAACTCAGTGCCCCGACAAGGCCCCGGACAGTGAGGAGAAAGCGCCATGAGGGTGATAAGAGTCGCACTAGAGCAGCAGATTGCGGAGACAGCTGGTGCGAGTTGTACAACGCGGATTCGTCGGTTTAAGGCAGGAGCTCAGACAAAAGCCGGGCTTGCATTGGAGCCAGAACGGTTGGAGCTGGAAATTGTTCACTTCCTGCATTATTCGATGATGATAGATGGAGATGGAGGGGCAGGGGGGGTGGAGGCAAACAACAATCCATTTCCATAATCAACATCCCCCACGACCTCAGTCCGTCCCAACCATCGATCCACCAACCTTTCAAGGCAGGCAGTTCAAAGAACAACGGAATAGAATATAGCTTTCCCAGTAGTCCCATTGCAGGGGGATGCAGGCCAGCGCGCAGGAGGCCACAGTCGTCGGCAGGAAATTGAGGGGGTGCCACACGAAGAGCGGGTTGGAGAAACGAGAGGAATCGGCGAGGTTCGACTGGTCACGGCTACCCGGAATGGTGGGAGGAGATCCCCGTGACCATCCCGCCTCGGTACTTTCTGTACAGTTGCAGTCGATTGCATTACCTTGACCTCTTTCAACCACTCACTAGACTACTGTTCCATGCGAATCCGCATACATCTTTGATCGGATGTCTTTCGCAGTCTGACACTGCATACAACAAGCAGCGTAACTACCGCAGCTTCCGCGGAGTGGAGTCATTCAACCGAAAACAAAGAACTAGTATCAACACTTTAACCCTTGCTACTATGTACTGTACATTTCTCACCCTTCGACGGTCGGACACTTGCTTATGTTGGACAAAGAGAAAGTCTAGCCAGCGGTCGTCTTCGAAAGTTCCGACACCCAATCCTCGGCGCAAAGCCATATGTGAGGGGGTCGCTGATCACACATGGTTCGGTTCAAGAAGGTATGTGGTCAGTCGACCAGACCGTCAACTGATTCTCCACGGGCTCAAGTGTCATGCTTTGATTCTAGACCTCCACTGCAGGGTCATCGCATGTTGAACGATGTTGGACAGTCCTTTCTTTCAGCTTCGGAAAGACCCACTGGCCTGGGATGGACATGGGCCATCGAGATAGTTACCAAACTCGTATTTGTTGCACTGTTTGTGGCAGAACTTAAACTCCTGCCCAAGCAACGACTGTTAGCGACCTAGATCATCCTAGTCGTTCATAGTCTTCGCAGTAGATTGCGACATCAGGTGTGACAATTAAGCTTTCTATGTCATTGAGATCGTTAACAGATGAACGGAGTGTATGCAGTGCTGGTTACCTGAGAGATATCGAGCGAGCACTTGCAGCAGAACTGGTGTATCCTGGACCCATGTTTCAACATAAGGCTGAGTTCATGAATATGTCTCGAACGAAGATGACACATGACGTATGTTTCAACTTCATAGGAGGGACCGTCGTTGAGAGGCGAACGCTATATGTCGCCTCTGCCGCGCGCTCATTATCGTCGAGCTTCGGTTGGTTCTTGAACCCCCATACGGAAGCGGAGTGGGGATTGCAAGGTAGTCGATCAACGAGGGGTCCGATAAGTTCTCCGCACGCTATCAGAGAGGTGGCAGAAAGATGATGCAAACATTCTGGTCCGAGTCCTCTGAAACCATCTTCAGTGCACAGAGATAATAGAAGGTCAATACCTAAAGCCTCGTTACTCAAGTATAGTAGTTAGCATTACATGATGCTATGAGAGTAGTGGGCATAGCCAAGCAGACCCCATTTGAGTCTCCGACATCGCTCGCCAGGTTTGGTTTCAGACATAAGATACCCACGGACTGATGACCCACCCTGGCGACAGGACCCAAGCCTTCCATCAAGTGGCAGGGGACATAGAAGCTGCCGGAGTCTTTGCGAGGCATCGCCACTTGATTCTTAGACCTCAGCATCTCAACTCACGCGACGTTGATTGCGAAGTGTGTGGGGGAAATAGCAAACGTGCTCAGGGAGCAACGTGATCACCTTGTAGCGACATGCGCGACTCTGACTCTGCCCAGTCTTTTAGTATGAGTAGGCCACTCATGATCTCCAATACTTACCAGTTTCAGTGCTGATGAAGGATTTGTTCTAGAGTCGATGGGGGCTTCTCATAAGCCACTCTTGGTCCAGTCCACGGGGTCTCCAATTCATCAACCTTGTACCCAGCAAGTGAACAGACTATCTGAGCTAGCTGCACCATTTTATTTCATTATATCTGGCTGACCGAGAAATTTAGGAATGGAATTCGGCTTCACCTATGACTTATCTCTAATGAAGACGGATGCTAAATCGCGCTTGCCGGTTTTACTCCAAATCTTTGGGCCAGTACCACAAGTTGAGCCGCAAAGAGAGTACTTCTAAAAGCATTGGGGTCATCGTCACAAAATGCGCGTGTGAAGGTGTGGTTGGACCTTGCCCCAGTCAACAAAGCCCAGGTTCTGAACATTGGTCTCTGTAAGTAACCGCTTCAAAGTGTGATACACAGGTCCATTTTCCTTGTATTTAGTTGGACCAAGATATGGTTGCTTCACGCGATTCGAAACCTCTTCGGTGATGAATGGTCTCATGGCTTCGCGAAGAACATGCTCTTCACGAAAGATCTTTCTCTCTGGATCATATCTTATCTTTAGACTTGGCGGTATAGTATTCACATATTCTGTGAGGCGATGATCGAGAAACGGTGGCCGCGTCTCCACCTGAAAAACCATGTCTATATTGTCGCCAATATATCGAAGAATACCATTTGCCAGCATTGACTTGGTCCACTCGTATTGAGATGAATTTAGCGAGTGCCATTTCTGTTCCATGTCGTTGATAGTCTTCTCACGAAAGCTTCGGAAAAAGGACAATTCTGGGTCACCTTGGGTGTATTTCTCTGTCCATGCCTGAAAGGGTAATTGACTGAACCAAGCAAGTGCTGGAAATATAGAGGTGTGGCTGAGACTATGTTCAGTCCCTGACTTGGCGGTTACTTTTGCTACCGCTTGTGCCATTCTCTGATTGACGGTAGCCTCCATCTCTTCTCGGCTGCCGTTGACGGCTAGTAAAGATGCGGGCCATGCTTGGTCTGGCTCACTCAAATAGCTCCACATCAAGTCACTGTATCCTGCAAAATGTTCGTCTGATCCTTCGCCGGTGAGAACAACTCTCTTTCCTGCATTGTGAGCGGCCTCTGCAACAGCCAGTCGACCCATCCCGTCCACATCAGGGAGCGGCGTTTCCGTGTACCAGATTGTATCCTCCAGTCGAGACGCGATGGTCTCTTCGTCCAGCAACACTGCGTGGAAATCCACTCCAAGCCACTTCGCAGTCCGCCGAGCAATATCTATGGAGTGTCAGATCGGAGAAGATAAGGGGGAGAAGTTTCTCGATCGGGAGAAAACAAACCGGACTCATCGATCCCCGACTCTTTCTCGAATTGCACCGTGAAGCAGCTTAGCCTCGAGGTATCACCGGTTGTTTCATTTCCAAGTCTTGTTCCTTACTTCATCAGATGCGCTGTCATGCCTGCAACTGCAGACGAGTCCAGCCCGCCGCTCAGGAACACACCAACACCCACATCGGCGCGAAGTCGAAACCGCACCGAATCGAGCAGCAATTCTCGCACTCGAGCGACTGCCTCAGCTTCGGTGCCTTCATATACCAGCCTCTATGTACAATCAGCGTCGTACAGTCTGCTGGGAGTGGATATTACTCGCCTTGTCGGGATACTCTAAATCCCAGTATGTCTGCAATTCGAATGGCTGGAAATTGTCACTCACGAGCATTTGACCAGGTTCGATCTAGAAATAGCCATCAGCTTCGGTCCAGCTCGTCTCTTATCGACAACTTACACGATGCACTCCCTTGAAGTACATTTTCGCTCCATACATCCATCCCACTCCTTTAAGATTGGCAATGTCCCACTCTGGAACCCATCCAAATGGCAAGAAAGATTTCATCTCAGTTGCGACGTGAAGCCTTCCATCGATGATGGTATAATAGAGCGACTTGATGCCATATCTGTCTCGCGCAGCTATAAAACGGTTGTGTTTCGCATCCCAAAGTACCAAAGCGAATTCTCCTCTCAAGTGAGAGACGAATGACAGTCCATAACGGTGGTATAGGGCAATGACAATCTCACAGTCACTCTTGCTAACAAACTCATATTCGTTAGCTAGCTCACTTCGAATTCGCTCGTGGTCATAAAGTTCTCCATTGACGACGGCTTGGATAGTGTCATCTTCACTGTGGAAAGGCTGGTTTCCGGCTGGGCTAAGATCAACGATTGAAAGGCGTACATGCCCGAAGCCTTGAGATTATGTTAACCTCCTTTCACAGCATAGGAAGTGATCGACCGACCAACTCGAGTGTCAGGGCTGATCCACTGGCCACGCGCATCAGGACCTCTATGCTTGACCAAGTCTAGATTGTCGTTTATCTGACATGCCAGCCTGTGGGAAGACACAGTAGTGCTCTCATCGCGATCAACTCCGTTCAGACCTAAGAACGCCGTCAGTCCACACATGTCGCCTTGGTTCGATTCTGCCTGAGCCTCGTCTGGAGAAAGACTAACAAAGGTTACAATTTCTTTTCCAAATGCCAGGTTCTCCCTCCGCTTTTATGCTCCGACATGTTCATCGGTGAGATTACTCCATAGCCTGGTATCATGTGCCATCTGCCAATATTAGGTATCCTATAGCTCATCCAAAAACCTTCAAGAGGCTAGCGCTGTTGCACAAACCTGTGCTTCACTGCTCTCCCAATCCTTTTGGGCAGGCCTTGGAAATCTCTTCATTGGAGTTCAATAAAACTCGCTTCGTGTCTACTGCGAGAAATTCTGTGCAGAAAATCATCGTGGCATTAATGAATCGTAGATCGAAATGGAATGCAAGGATACCTAAATCAAAAGACGAATCTCGGCCTGACACGTCAGAGAGTCAGATACCGACTGAATGGTTTGACGCAACGTAAGACCATGCAAGTCAACTGCATAGCACCAGTAGATGCATTCTCGGTCCTGCACGCACACTCGAGATGCTACTGTCTCATATGATATTCCAGGTATCGGCATATCCGCCTACATATTGACAAATCGGAAGACGAACGAGCGTGCAGCTGGTCTTCACCGCTATATCAGAAAGCCAGTATAATACAAGCCCTGGCCTTGGAATAAGAACTATTTATGTGATGTATGACCAGAGTAAGACATAGCTCGGTTGGCTGCCGTCATGCGGGATTCAGGCACCCTGATATTCGAGTCAGCCAACAGCATAGCGGATGTATGGCCTAGGTAGTTGTGCTCGAAAACCTAGCAAGCTAATTTCAATTCTTTAGTTCTTGTAAGCGTGCTTTTGCAAAGCTCTGTAGGACATAAGGCAAAGTGCCCGCGTTTGCCATGATACGATCATTCTGGGTCTACCGATCCGTCTATATAACAGGTATAGATTGGGGTGTTTAGTACTCCAATAACTTTAATTTGAGGATTTCAGGACTGATCTCCACGTGATATTCCAGTATCATCGGCATTGATAGTCTCTCTATATAAGCGGACCAGCCTCTTTCGCCTATAATGAAAGGACATCCTGTATCTTTACAGGTTCAAGTTGTTAATATCTTAAGACTTGTTGAATTGAGAGTAGAGTGTACAGGCTAGCCAGCTGAATGATACCAGGTAGACTATATGAATATTATTCTTAATATAGGTGCTCTTTGTGGTTGTTCTTGCTAGTTGGTCTTTGTGATTGTATGCATAGCTGGCTAGCGGCTTGGTCTTCTTAACTATAACTTTAGCATATCCTCGCCTCAACTACAGAATCTTGTATAAATGTGTAAAGTTGTATACAATAGCAGAAGCCTGCCTAGCAGAATATGTGAGCGGTTTCTTGAACAGAGAGTCTATCATGCAGAAGACATATTCGTCTCTTCGCAAGCGCTTAGTATAAGTAGATCGAGATCAAAGCTATCAAAAGTGCTCAGAATGTCCAGCATCCAGTGACTAAGTACGGTAGATGTTGACTAGCCTGCTGTAGCTTGGTGAACGTATCCTAATGAAGAGTTTTCATCTCAGCGCTGAGTCGTTCGCTGAGTCGTTCATCGCTCCTTCCCATTTCTAACACGTCCCATCATCTTAGTGAGTACTTCCTCTGTGACCACAACTCCATCTACACCCATCCTTCTCGCTCCCCAGATTATTATCACTTCCTACAACTTGATCATCAACGCTACCCTTCAAGATGACTATCTCGTACCCTGATCTCAGAGACACCAGTCGCTTTCCCGGCTTTGCCGCTATCCCCATCGAGGACCTCGACACCCACAAATTGACTCCCGGAATAGATGGCTGTCTCCTGCTCGAGATCCTCGCTTTCGAGACAATGCCCTACCTCGTCATCGGGTGCCGCAGCACTGATCTACACCTTGTCACCCTGCGATTCGAGGGACCGGATCAAGGCCGTGCTCTCAGTCAGTGTCCGCACCTGAAGGTTGGAAATACCATCGCTATCATGCAGGCCCGCAAGCATCAGTTCGGAATTGAGGTTTATGGCATCCGTGTCTACGAATATCGCCAACTCAAGGTATGGATGTTTGAGCCCTGACAATCACGCTCCTTCCCTGGTAAACCGGTGCTAACCCATGCGAATCAAGATCATCCCAACCTCGTTGGACGAGCTTCTGGAACTCAGTGATGAGATGAGAACCTGGCCTCTGAACTTTGCTGCCCATCAGAGGTGTCACTGGTGTCGTAATGAGCCTGACCACATCACGACCTGCGATGGCTGCGGTGTCATCGGATACTGCAACAGCGTAAGGAGACCTCCCTCGATAGATTGAATCAGTATGGTCAAAGATGAGTCTGCTAACTCTGTACTAGGGCTGTAAGGCGGGCAGCTGGAACATCAACAAACACAAGGAGTTCTGCAAGGTTATTAAGAACCAGAACTTCCGTTCCCTCATGATTGAAATGGGGCACGAGTAAGCCTTATTGAACTGTAGGGCCAAGGCATAATCACGAGGAAGTTGCTCCGAGCACACGGATGATCTCTGCATCACCTCTTGTTTCATGATCTGGCTTCATTACCTTGTTTCATTATCACAAACGATATGTTCTGTTCTTTCCCACTGCTGGACCTACTGTATGTGTTCCCATTCAGATGGGCCTGAACAAGTTTCATGGAAAGATAAAAACCCGAAACCACAAAAATACAATTTCGGTTAGTATTGCATCTTGTTTCCCGGATTTCAGTCATGGACTAGCTAGTCAATACTGTAATAGTGTAAGTTACTATTCTCAAGCTAGTAAGTACCAGCCACCCCGGATAAGCGGGTATTGCGGGATGTGTGGATTGCCCGCCCCCAGACCGAGGCTGGTTTGATCGGCCGGCTTGCGACGGTGCTCGGACCGAGTGCCACCTTAAAGTGACCCCTTCTCCTCAGACACACGTCCCTCCCTTCTCCACAGAGAACGTAAACCTTGTGGTATCTGAACGCGACTCTTTGAATGATGCTTCGCTCTTTTCCTCGTCGGCTCCCTCGACATATTCCTCCCCGACCCGTCACTGAAGGCAGTCTGTCGCGCTTTGCTGTGCGCTCCTTCACATGCGGTTATCCGCGGATGTCGGCATCATCGCTCCCCCCCGTGGAACCACCCGTCTCAGCAACGTTGCCTGCGGATTCATACCAACTTCTCTCTACAGCAGACAAGAGCGGGGCAGCTGAGGATGCTCTCTACGAACAGCAAATAGCAGATGTGGAAGAATGGTGGCAATCTCCCCGCTTCGAGGGCATCAAGCGGCCTTACTCCGCCGCAGATGTTGTCAGCAAACGCGGTTCCCTGCAACAAACATACCCGAGTTCGTTGATGGCGCGGAAGCTTTTCCATCTGTTGAATGAAAAGGCAGCGCAAGGAAAGCCGGTTCACACGAGTATGTATCGACATTGGTTCCTCGGCCTTTATTATTTCTTTTTTCTTAGTGTGCTAACTATTGCCAAGTGGGCGCCATTGACCCGGTCCAGATGACGCAGCAGGCACCTCACCAGGAGGTCCTGTACATCTCGGGATGGGCTTGCTCGTCACTCCTAACGACGACCAACGAGGTGTCTCCTGACTTCGGCGATTATCCATACAACACAGTACCCAATCAAGTCCAGCGATTGTTCAAGGCGCAACAGCTACACGATCGGAAACAGTGGGACGCTAGACGGAAGCTGACCGCTGAGCAACGGAAGTCGACTCCATACATTGATTACCTGCGTCCGATCGTGGCTGACGGTGATACAGGGTATGTGCTGTGCTCACTTGGACGGATTCGGCCAAGATCACGTTGTTAACGTTCCATACAGACATGGCGGACTTTCCGCTGTATTGAAGCTGGCCAAGCTTTTCGCGGAGAATGGCGCTGCCGCAGTGCACTTCGAGGACCAGCTTCATGGCGGAAAGAAATGCGGTCACCTAGCTGGCAAGGTACTTGTGCCCATCGGGGAGCATATCAACAGATTGGTCGCAGCTCGCTTCCAGTGGGATCTGATGGGAACCGAGAACCTGCTTATCGCACGCACAGACTCCGAGAGTGGACGGCTCATCAGCAGTGCTATCGATGTGCGCGACCACGAATTCATTCTTGGAGTGACGGAGGAGGTTGAGCCACTCGCCGAGACTTTGCAGGCCATGGAGAGGGAGGGCGCTGCCCCTTCGGAGATCGATGCCTATGAATCTGAGTGGGTCAAGAAATACAAGCTGGTCACCTTTGATGAAGGTCTGTTTCCGATCTTACACTCGCCCTTCTCAACTTCTGGAACTAACCACATGGCGTGATATAGCCGTCGACGCACATCTCGAAGCAGAAAAGGCTCCACAGTCCGCCCGGGATGCATACAAGAAGCGCGTTCAAGAGAGCCCTGATCTTTCAATCTCCCGCCGCAGAGTCCTGGCCAGCGATTACACAAAGAAACCGGTTGTCTGGTCTTGTGATAGTCCCCGTACCAGGGAAGGATATTACCACTACCGTGCTGGATTCCCCGCAGCTACAAAGCGAGCACGGGAGTTCGCACCGTATGCGGATCTTCTCTGGGTCGAGACCGGTGACCCAGACGTTGCGAAAGCAGGGTCTTTGGCAGGAGAGGTGCGCAAGGCGTTCCCCGGTAAGAAGCTGGTGTACAATCTGAGTCCGTCCTTCAACTGGATGGGACATGGTTTCGACGAAGCGTCTCTTAAATCGTTCATTTGGGATTTGGCGCAACACGGGTCAGTCAGCCACTTCTCTTCTAAAGATCAGAAAAACTAACTTGCTTAGGTTCGTACTTCAACTCATCTCGCTCGCTGGACTGCACAGCAACGCAACTATCACGACAGAACTCTCTCGGGCGTTCAAGGAAGACGGTATGCTCGCTTACGTGCGCATGGTTCAAGCTCGGGAGAAGGAGCTGGGCGTGGATGTTCTTACACACCAGAAATGGAGTGGTGCGCCCTATCTTGACGGCATTCTTGGGGCAATTCAGAGCGGCAGTAGCAGCAGCAAGAGTATGGGCGAGGGCAACACAGAGAAGGGTAAGTGGAGAGTATCGGTGGTGATTTATAGACTTTTGGCTAATGACCTCGCAGGCTTCTGAAGGAGTTGGATGGCTTTGTAACTTAATGATAAATGAGACTCAACAACAAACTTCGGTGTTAATGATTCACCCAATCTCGTAATCTAACTCATGAATCCCGATATAGCCTACATCTACCGACATCCACGAACTGAAACAGTTGATGCTGCCATAGCTTTTCACTCATCTCTCGAAGGACACCTTCTCAGCTCCTGGTTATCGACGCTTGTGTGTGGTAATGGAGAAACCTGATCGAATGATCTCTGGCGAGAAACGAGTTATTTCATTGGGTTGGGAGGGGAAGGAGCTATCGAGAGAGCCTTGAAAACAAGACTTGGGAGCTGAAAAGCTCCTCTCGCCATTTCTTCTTCCCCCGCTCTCCATTTCTCATTTCCACATCACTCAGTACTCTTGTTTTCTGCTCTTCCGGCTGTTTGCAGGGTTATGCGTTATCCGAGGATCGTCTTACTACCCCTCTTCCACTGCTCAACCCAGCGATCCAGTCGCCGGCAAGTCATCCGGTGGACTTAATTATGTCTCTCGGCAATTAGTTGTCGTTTGAGCTGCCTTTCCTACTTGTTTGTAGCATGCGCACCGCAAAATACCACAATATGTCGACAAGTATTGGTATTCTTTGAAAGACTCGCACGGCCTTGGTTGCGCCAAGCTCTATGTCCTCCACGCCCTTGTTGTCACTAAGCCTCTCAGATTTGTGTGTCTGACGCCTTTCCATCATTCGTTCAATATGATGACTTCGAGGCTGTCTCTGTGGAACGGTAGCAGGATGAATTCATTTTGCGAGAGGAAATTAAATGTAAGTCTATTCTGAATCATTTTGGATTCGTTCTGTGTGTCTTCGTCGAGGTTACATTTATCGTTTCGTCCTGCGGTGATTGTCGGTTTATATTAGCATCAAGCACCGCTAACTCGAAAGTGTTTCTCTGGAAATGTATAGGAATGAACTGGTTCTCACAAGATGCTAGGATACAGTCTCAGGTTTCCGTGGAATGGCACTTGGGCGGGTGTGAAAACAATTTGGGACTCAGAGAGTAGTTGAGTTTGCTGCACAGAGGAAATAAACGAAGAGACTTAAAGAAAGGTTGGGGGTAATGTGGAAGACAGGATAGAAGGCAGAAGGTGAAGTGGTCGGTCACTTAGTCCTCCCTCACGCTCTCGCCGAATCCACTTACAGCACCACCTCACTTACCTCCCTCAACTCCTCGACTTCCGCGATCGTTCTGTTCTACTTCTCCAATAAACAACCAATGAATCCTAAACCTTTTCTCTACCTTTCTCTTCTTTCTATACCACTCGTCACAAGCTTTGGCTTACCAGAATCTGCTGTGGAACTGTTCTCACTTACAAAGTGCTGACCTCAACATCGTGGCTCGGCCAGTCGGCTCTCATCTTATTTCGAGCTTGTCAGGAGGTCATTTACAATCACCGTCACCCCTTAGTAGCGCATGTCAAAAGCCTACTGTGCCAGTAACGGATGATCCATCTCAAGGTAAGGAAGTTCCTTCCATGCCTGATACCCGCGGGTATCACTTCTCTTGATCTCTTACTTTATCAGCTAACAAATTCGTCGAAAAGTGAAGCTCTCTTTAGTTCCTCCTTTTTCTGTCTGGCCCGAGCACCAAGACCAGGAAGCCATCCCTCGGCCATCACGGGGCTGATCAACTGAGTGATACGCTGATTATTCCTCCGAAACCGAAATTCAACATGGAAAAGCTGCCAAATGAGATTCTACTACTTATTAGGGAAGAGAATATACAAGGCTTTGAGTACATGGATTAATTGCCTCTGCTTCTTGTGTGTAGGCACTGGCGTTCGTTATTTCTTTCTCATGTCTACAACGTGATCAGGTTGAATGAGAAGCAGATCAAGCCTTTCTTGGTATTGTCCAGAGTAACCCATCTATTGCGACGTCTATCGTCGCTTTAAACATCGAAGCGTCAAATACCAACTTTGAGGTCGCAAGGAATGATATTTCTAGCATCGGCAGCCGTATCGCAGAGATGGGCCAGTCAGCAGAAGGAACCACGGAATGGGAAGAGGAGTTGCTTAGAGGCGGCTGCGATGCATGGATTGCTGTTCTTCTGACATACTTGCCGAATCTTTCTGGTTTCATCGTGGAGCCTGCGTCACTTATCGGCAGATACATTCGCAGTATCGTGACACGGGCAGCAGCACGAGAGGCAGCCTTCACATCCATATTGCAGGAGCTCTATGATTTTAGTATCGTTCCATCCGACCAGTGGGTACCATCCCAGGCGAGCGATTACGTACCTTTCTTTAATCTCCCATCTATGAGACAGGTCACACTGTGGTGCGGATTGATGGACTCAGACAGCGGTGATACAATGCCTGGCCTTGGGTTCGAACGGGGGACTTTGCCAATCACTGAAATCGTGATAATGGGCAACGGAAGGTATGGCATGAGGGAACTAATAAAATCCTGCCAGAACCTCGAAGTCTTCGATTGGCAGCATAACGACATAGAATTGCTTGGGGAGTCGTACAGGAGATTTCGTCCCAGGGCATTCTGCACTTCCCTTTCAACCCAAAAGCATAGTCTGGTAGAGCTTAGACTTCACGGCCAATCATTCTATGGTATTGGATCTGATTTCGACGAAGATGATGACGGAGAGGCAGAGTCCGAGCTTGATCCTCCTGACAATTGGTTTGGCTCGTTAGCAGATTTTGTGAAGTTGCAAGAGCTACGCATGCGTGTTGTCAATCTCCTAGACTTCCGCTCCGAGAGCTTCGAGCCAAACAAGGCTTTGAAGAATATCCTCCCTGGAAGCTTAGAACGTATCTTCCTGCCGGAGTGCCACGCGGAGCATACCGATCGACTCCATCAGGAGTTGATGAAACTGTTCGCATGCAGGACGCAGAAATTTCCCCACCTCGGACTACTTATCATCGTGTGCAAATTTCTCAAGGAATTGGAACCGCCCACTGCTACTCGATGCGAATGTGTCCCTGATGCGCTTCAAAACTCATTTGTCGAGCCTATCAAGGCAGCTGCAGAAGGTGTCGAGGTCGATTTTGGGGCTGCTTACAAGCGAGACGTGAGTCAGCCCTATTTTTATGCCACGATTTGAAGGCAAAGAGTTAGCCTCAAGCCATCATTTACAGTATGGTCTTCATTGGATGCATGCATGCATGCATCCGCTTTTATGTTCTCTTTGTGTTGCGGCATGTTTTCAAATCTTGAGAAGCTTTTCATAGGTGGTTCTCATTTCTGTCACGAGTAATCCGCATGTTATTTTTGTTTACATTGAGAAATCTGAGTCGAGCTAGTTCCAACTTCATTGTACGCATAATTTCTCAAATGCTACTTTATCCAAAAGAGGGTATGAACAAATGTGCAGGTGCAGTACAGCCTCCCCCCTTCAAGGAAGCAGCCTGCGAGCCCACACAACAACAAGCACATCTTTGTATCTAACAAAAACAAATTCTGTCTCCACTTATCAGTATTTGATTCTCATTATCCTCCAATACACCCCAAAGAGATCATCCTATTCTCGAAGACAACCCCCAACCCAAACCCAAACAAAAGCAATTACCCCCCCCCATCCCAGAACACACCCTCTCAAGCGCATCACTCCAGACTCAATACCCAGTGAAATAGTAACCAAAGATCAGAAATGGAAGTGTCAACATCGGTACCTGATGTCCCATAACAAGATAAGTTCCGACTATCCCAACGTTAGTTACCACTTTCCCCCATCGGGTACGGAGCTGGGGTATGATGAGGTTCGGTAACCAAACCAGGTACGAGACGGGGTACTAGGTATCCTGTAAGCATACCTCACCAAGGTAAATACCCGCCGAAATACCGAACCGCAAGCGCAATGCACCAACACTTTACTTCCGCCTAGTAAGGGAAAATATATTTCAGGGTCTAGATCTACGGCTCGCAGGTACAGATAGATATCGTAGCGATTTGCCCGGTCAATTGGCACTACTTGACTGGGTTGGAAAACAAAACCTTGTGGTCAACAAATGCATGTCTCTTGGAACTTAGTAATGGTATTAAGGCTCAGTTAATCGATATGCCAGAGGTCCAATAAGCTGCAGCAACAATCGTGTCTACACCTAGTTGACTACCGTAATACTTTTCCCTAGATCTTCACCTGCATATAAGACACATACGCACAAGCACGCACACCAGACATATACACACGCGCAAGAAGAGAAAGATTCCATTCTGTGAATGAATCATATGTCCGAGACTTCGACACGGATACAGACCAACGAGAAGAAAAAATTATGACCCCCGGACAGAATGACATTGGTCATGACAATTTGGGTTCCTGGATGCGATGACAAACACGGCAAAGATAAAAAGGGGATTGAAGATCTTACACAAGCGGGAAATGAGAGAGCACCAGTAGAGAATCGGAGGCCGAGCAGCGGAGGCTGAAAAACATAAGAGGAAGAAAGCTCATGATGAAACATTTCAGCTGCAGTGTGCTGCACTTGCCACTATGACAGAACAAACACATCAAGCAGATTCGTGACTGTTATGGCTGATGAAGAGATATTGTCACTTGTATCCCCACAAGATAGAGAAGAACAGGGTGCTCAGACGGATTACAACGGTCAAGACATTCATAGGTACCACACAACGCACCCGTACGGCTGGAGGTAGATGAGAGATATAGACTGAGAAAAAGGAATAGGAATTGAAGTAATTCCCCAGGAGCAGAGAGAAGATGGACCGCAATTTCCCCCCGTGAAATCAAATTTGCTACTCGCTTAATAACGGACAAAACAGCTGCGATATTATGGCAGATTAGTTGACGCGGAAGGCGTCGAAAATAACTGTGCAAGAGCATTAGTGATGGTAGGGCATAGTAGGAGAAGAGGATCCGACTAACCTTCTTGGTTCCGGCGACAGCCACTGCCAATCCACATCAGAGTGTTCAAAAATGCGTAACGTTCATCTCCGGTCTCCATAGATAGGTTAATGCGATATTTGTACGTGTTCGGGTTAACACCATCAGCCACGGTCGGGTCGTTGACTTTGTCCAAAACGTCCTTAGAACCAGTCAACCATCCATTGGTCTTCACAATAATGTACGCAGGGGGGTCGTCGGCGGTCTGAAGCATATAGCTCGCTCGAAGGCTGGTGGATGACTCTTTAGTCACGATCTGAGAATCCTGTCCCCCAGGCTAGTATCAGGTTAGCATAATGCGAATGCCTTTCTCTGGCGCACGAAGTGTGTTTACCAAAATAATGCCTTTGCCCCATCGACCTGCCCATTGCCCTCCCACAAATGTCACCCAGTCACGCTGACCCCAGATACTCTCGCCCACAGCGACCTTGGGGTTCATCTTGATGCTCATGCGGAAGTCCAACTCGAGAGTAGGCGCGGGGATCTGCAGCGAGCGGGCCACGTCGCCCTCGGGGAAGGTGTGGAGGAGGTTGTTGGCGGGGATCGAGTCCTTCATGACACTGAGATAGGTGGGGCATTCCAGCAGATGTTGGCGTTGCCGACTCGTGTTCTTCGCGCGGACTTGCTGGCAGTATATGCATTGGACGGACAGACACTATAAGAAAGAGAAGAAGTTCGCGTCAGAACTTCCGTGCAGGCCGCGCGCGTGTTTTCGCTCGCCTATGAAACCCGGTGTGGGTCTTACCTTGTCTTCTTCCTTCGCACGGAACTCTACGAAAGCAGCATGCACGTCATCGAGGGGCGGGGCGGGGAGGTTGGAGGACGAGTTTTTCGGCTTGGACTTGGGTGTCGCACGAGAGGCCTGCTGCGCGGCAGCGGCCGTGGAGGTGGCCCCGGCAGGGCCTGACGTCGGCAAGGAAGCGCGTCCCTGCATGTTCTGCAGCGGCGTCTGCATCGGGGTGGCATGCGGATTGACACCGTTGGACATCATGGGTCCATTCGGGGTCGCGAGGGCACCAGGCCCTGGCCCAGCGCCGGAAGCTGTGGCAGGGGCGCCATTGGGAGTGGGAGGATATCCGTTGGCAGCACCGATGCCGTTAGTAGTGGATTGAGCGGACTGTGACTGAGCTTGGGGGTTGGTATGACGGAGGCCGGGACATTCGAGCAGGTGCTGCTTCTGACGCGAGGTGTTCTTTGCGCGGATTTGCTGGCAATAGATACACTGGACGGAAAGGCACTGCGAAGAGCAAACAAACAGAATCGTTATGTCAGTAACGATGACGGGTGCTGACGGGGGGGGGGGGGGTTAAGTTGGGTTGAATTCTGTTGGTAGGCGGGCGTTTGGAAATATTACGGGAAATACGGAAGTCACGCACCTTATCGTCTTCCTTGGCGCGGAACTCGACGAACGCCGCGTGAACTTCCTGGTCGACTGTCCGACCCATGTTCACGACAAATGGGGTGAATAAATCGATATTGGGGGGGTGGAAGGGAAAGAAACCACGCCTGATTTACAAGACGATCTCACAGGATCTCAAAAGGATGATTTAAAGGGAAGGGGAGGGTGGGAGGGGAGCGAAACGAGGGAGCAGGACGAGGACAAGGCAGCCAAAACTCGGGGGGTGAGCGAGAGTGAAAAGGAAGAATCAATGAATGTTTGACGGGACGGGAAGAAAGTGGAGGGAGGGAAGGGAAGAGAGAGGGAAAGAGAAAAGAAAGAGAGAGAGAGGAAGAGAGCAGGGGGAGAAGGACAAGACAAGACAAAACCAGAACGAGAACGAATAACGAGGACAAAACGAGACAAACTGACGGCAAGTGGCGGTTAATTTACGCGAACTCGTTAAAAACGGAACAAGACGGACGAGACGGACGAGACCTTACACCTCGCCCGCGTAATTTGGATCCTGGCATTCGGGTCGGGCTGGGATGGGCTGACTAACCAGTTAACAAACCAAACCACTCACCCGATCGAGTCTCCTCTTCGTAGGGTGGGAAAAATGCCAGTGCATGAAAAAAAGGTTCTTGCTTCGTTATCCTGTACTGTACCATTCATCTATCGTATCTACCAGATTCATCTAACCGGACGAAATAGAGAATGAACTGCATCAGCATCTAGACTCAAAGACAATCACCTCCTCTTCGCCCCCCTCAAACACGATCGACTCTAAGCCCTCTTCACAAAGTCAAAACCAAGGCTACAAGGCGGCAGGCTGACCGAGTCCACTTCCTTCTCTCCTAAAAATAAGCCGGTGTGCTGCTGCCAGCAACCTCCGGGGGTGACAGATCTAGATATGCAGTTTCTTCAACCGCAATTTGGCCTTTTCTTCGACCACGGTATATCCCAAGGTGTAGTAAATTCTGGCCTTACAGACCTCTGCCAAAAAAAATCGTTGTACTGGTAACTTACTGAACAGTACTGGCAATACTGGCAAACGAATACCACCTCCGGCTGTATCGAAGTAAGAGTAACATGACCAGACGGGTCCGAGCATATCATACCACCTGTTCCTAGCTTTACCACCGCGTTGGCCGTGTTTGGAATCCAAAGAACCAAACCAGGTATGGAAATGGGAAACTTGGAAGGGTATCTTGTATTGATCTATCTGACAAAACCGAGATCGAGATCGCATCACGCATCAAGATCTACGTATGCACCCTTTTTCTTGTGAAGGCTATCTATCCTTCTCGACGAGGGCTACGGCTTGCAGGATCAGATGTTGTGTCAGGACATACTGGGGGTTACACAGCCACCGCTAACCACGCGTGCTGCCTTTCCGTGTCTTACTCTGCTCTAAAATGCTGGACATTGAATTGGATTCCTCGTGTGAAGGGATGACACCGTAGGATGAGGTGCAGTGTTTCCATTGTTTACCAAGTAGTATAGAAGTCGTCATTTCGTCAGAACTATTGGTGATAACGGTGTCAAGCCTTAAAATAGATGGTGAAGACCAGCCTCGTAAGGTATGGAGTAAGCTGTAAGTACGCCAAGCGAAGGAACTGCTCCCCGGACAGCTGTCACATTCCCTCTAAACACCCCCCTTGTCCCTATTACATGCGGGTCTACTTGCTCATGTGCATTGACTTTCTATTTTTTTTGCCAGTTTATACTTCCTGCCTAACGCTGCCCTCGTCGTCGTCGACTGTTACGATTCGCTACCAAACCATCCATACATTCTTACCATCCATCAAACAAAGACCATCGACCCTTCTCTGACGCTATCCTTGAGTCATCACCAGCAGCTAATGATGAAAAGTCTGGGGAGACTCGAGCTTGCAATGTCATGGCAACAAGGATCTTATTGAGATGCTTTATGGCCGAAATCAATAATCAGAAGAAGAAGAAGAACTGGGAAAGAAAAGAGATATCGAAAAGAGTTGCAGATGGAAATTTCGGGTGAGACGAAGAACCACACGCGAACCACCATCTGTATGAGCATTAAATACCGTATTGTAAACACCATAGAAGCTGGAAAGATTACCACGAAAGATCGGTATAGAAAAGAAAAACAAGGGCAGTCTGATGGGAAGAGACAGGAATTTTAGAGACCATGTTGAACATAAAAATACAGAGTTTTTAGCAAGTACCGACTGCTGTCCGAATCAGTTGAGACAGCTGATGTGTTCACATACAAAGCGCACTCTCAGATCTCTGGCAAACTGAGATAGATCTCGCCATACAGGTAGAGTTCGCCATACTTTTCACCACCGAGATACTGTGCCTCATCTTGATGGACTGTGAGCAGACCTTTGGTAGCCAGAGCGAGGATGTGCATGAGACCTTGGGTAGCCACGATGCGAGATGTCTTGGCCGGGGGAAGAAGCGAAGAAAAGTGCATTGTTTGCTTGATACCACTAAAATGACTTGAGGATGGGTGCACCAGGTCCTGACCATCTCTCTCATCTGCACGAGCCAATGCTGCAATCTTAGCGGTGAGGAAGTCGAGGAAGTTCAGACTTTCCTGGTCGAGAGTGGACCTCTGCGAGTCATCCCCGTGGGTTGGGAGACTGGCAGAAGCATGCCTAGGTTCGGCCGCGATAGCTTCGACTGCGTTGTTACGGGCGACTCCACCGTGGTCTGCCTCATCTTCTGTGTGCAGGTATTGCGAGATGTCAAAGTCCTCAAACATATTTACATCCTCCGGCTCGTGACCAGGGAGCTGTAGGTTGTCAAGTGCCTCGATATCGAATGGAAAGCCACGTCCAGCAAGAGGGCTTGAGCTTGTAAGGCGGCTGCGTGGTCTCAAAAGACCCGTGTCAGAAAAGCCGCGGGATGAAAAATCACTAACACTTCCAATACCGGGGAGGATGTTGCGAGCAATGGATCCCTGTCGGGAGCTATGTATAGAGGCTGTAACATTCCATGGCATCTGAAAGGAGCCTTCATCATGGAGTACTGACGACGCATGGCGACCGATCTCAACATCCTGCAACATGTAGCTTAGTAGCCAGTCTTCTATACGAGGCAGGTAGACATGAGAGAACAAACCTGGTTCCAGAGATCATCATTGTTGGGAAACTCCATCTGATCAGCTGGCTGGCCATCATTCCTAGCTCGTACGCGTCTTCCGATATGTTCTTGTTCCTCATCTTCTATGGAGTCGTGAACACGCTTGGGACTCAGACTGGCAGCAGTCGCTGTAAGAGTGTTGTAAAGTTGCTCTCCTGAGAAGTATTGCAATGGATGCGTGGCATGAGACTTGCCTACTCCGTTCCCAACAGAGCCAATACCCTGACCATATACCCAGAAGGCCGCGGTCTTCTTCGATAGTGTAGGAAGTTTGTTCTTCAACTTTTGCTTCGAGGCTACCGCCATAAGTTCCACAAAGTTCTGGTTCAGGTGAGCTAGTTCACTGTTTCTTAGCCCTATCTGGTCATCCGCTTGTATCAACTTCGGGGCTCTTTGCTTCTGAGCCATTGACACTGCATGTGCTTCTGGGGCAGCCTCATCATCTAAAATCATGTCGGGAAAGGGTGTCGATCTGGCCGGCAAATGACCAGCATCTCGGGTGTTCTGCTCGGGTTTCTCGCCTATTTCGAGACCGTCCTCGATCATGTTAATCTTGAATAAACTCTGAGTTAGTACTGTGCCACATATAGTCATCCCGAAAGCTATACCTGATCATCCATGATGATATCTTCTTCAGCACAGACTCCAAGATCACTCATGATCCCCCTTTCGTGGTGGCTGTGAGCGACACTGTGTGATATACCCCCAACTTGCGGAGTTGCTCCCAGCTCAACAATGTTTCCGTCCTCGTCGAACTCGAAATCAGCTTGAAGAATCACACCCGCCTCTTCGTCGAGCGGAAAAGGTCTGACCCTTTCCGAAGCGATGCTCCTCGGACCATACTCAACAGTATTGGTATCCGAGGTGAAGCCCCCCAAGCCTCCCGCGCAATTGTCATCGGATGGCAGGCTCAATTGCAAACTTGTGTTCTGCGAGACAACCGACTGACTCAAATTGGGTGTCTTTGGCCAATTGAAAAAGGTCGGTGCGCTCTGGTCGACTTCAGTCAATGCATTGAAGCTCGAGAGGTCAAGGATAAGCTCAGGGAGGCTATCAGGCAGGAACGAGGGATCGTAAGGCAAGATGAGCTGCTCGGGCCTATAGAAGAGGGACATTAGCATCATACCATCGGTGATCAGAGGATTCAAAAATGCCCCTCTGCTACCCTCATTAATGGAAACGAGACGTACCTAGCCTTCCCGGCAGAGGCGTCCAGACCACCACCCGGTAGAGTCTTCAGCATTGTTTTCATTTTGTCATGCATGGCTTGGGCATCTGTGAGCGTATACCCGCACTGATGGCTGTAAACCCTTGAGACCCCGTATCTGGTAGTTGAGTGTCTTGTAAGCAAATGAAACAGCCCATACCCGGATCAGGACAGTGAGCGTCTTACAGAAGATTTCCCTGAAGCCTCAGTGCCATCGGTGCCCCCGGCTCCATGATGGCGCCGCACGCCTTAGGGACATCCACATCCAGTATAGTCTTTCTGTTCAGACGTCTGGTGACAGACTTCGAGCCCAGGGTTGCGACCAGCCTGAAGACAAGGTTATATTAGCCATTCAATACGTTTTGCAAGCGTAGACTCGACGCGTGGAATTGAAGCGAACCATATTGTCGCGACACCGTACTCGGGAGAAGTAAGTACTAGAAGAATGAAAATGCTTTAGCTAGTACGTGAACGTCCAGGGGTCAGAAGATCTACTCACTTTCATGACTATAGAACATTTTCGAACGAAGAGCTGTATGCTACCGGCCCCAATCCGCCTGCTGTGCGGCTGGGGTCGAGCACGCGAAGTCAAAGTAGAATTGGAGACTCCGATGCTGCTGAGATTAAGATCAGAGAGCAGATGACGTCCGACAAGGTCTTGTGGTGTGAACCCCGACAATTCTGGAGTGAGCTGTTCAGAGAGGTAAAGTCATTCGGGCTCGGGGATGAAGTAGAGGTGTGGGGAATACTTGTCTCTGGGAGAAGGTACCAGTCACTCAAATACTAGATATATGGACGCGAAGCTCGTACACGATAGTTACGCGTGTCTGAATGAGCAAGACACGCTCTCATGAGTGGTAGATTGATCGAAGAGACTTTCAGTATCGGCGTTGAAAAGGATTCAAGTGACGAGTCTGGGAGCGTAGGGTCACTCCGACTTTCCGCAACGAACGACTTTTCCAATTCTGCAGAGACAAGAACCGCAAGAGATGTGAGTATCTGAGCTTAAGAATATGTCTTATTGATGAAATGATTCGCCGCTGTCTATCGGGGATTGTATTAAGGAAGAAACATCCGAACCACCGTAGAGGAAGACGCCCGGCTAGCAAGTCGACAAGGAAGTGAGTACACCTGAGACCACCCGCATAAGATGAGAATAACTAAATCAACTTTTGGCGCTCCTCTGGCCAGCTACACTGCATTAGCACCAACTAGACGAGATACAATACAACAGCAATCGCTGTCCAGTGCTTTTAAGAGAAAAGGAAACAGGTTGAAGTAATTGCCAGGATCGTTCTATTCATAACCAGAAGACAGTAGATGAAAAATAGAGACCAGGAGAAAACCATGGAATATGAAGCAAGAGATAAAGTGTTTACTGATATCTCCGACCCATGGCAACCCGGGAAGATGCACGTGGGGTATGGGACATGCAAAAAGATCAAAACTCGAAACAACATGAGGCTATACTTCCTCGGGATTAAGAAGAACGGTTTTCCTGCATTCGAAGGATTATATACCTACCCTTCGACTAGATGGATGTTACATGGTGCTTTTAAATAACAAGTGCAAACGACCTAATCAAGGGGGATGCCCTGGTATTCGCCGTAGCCAAGGGCAAGGTTCATGTTCTCTGTACACGGAGTGTTAGCATCGTTCTTTGAATCAGGAAGGCCATTAGTTCAGGGCTCCTTACGCAGACATTGAGTGGCAGCGCCCTTGAGCAGGTTATCAATGGTAGCACACACAACAACACGCTTGCCGCTGGAGTGAACGGCAAAGCCACCAACCTCAACACCGTGGCGTCCGGCAATGTTCTTCACCAAAGGGGGCTCGCCAACGATCTTGACGAGCTTCTCACCAGCGTAGCGCTCCTGGTAGATGTTGCGGATATCGCGAGAAGTCAACTCCTCCTTGAGGGGAATGCTGATGGTTTGCTGGACCAAAGTTAGCCAATGAAGAAGGAACAGAAGTAGGAGCCGAACGTACGTGGATACCCTGGAACCAGACCGCAACGTGGGGGATGAAAGCGATGCTGGCGCCAAGTTGCGAGCTGATCTCCTTCTCGTGGATGTGATCAGTCAAGCTGTAGGGAATTATGTTGTTCGTAAGGTTCTCGACGTCGTTCTTAGGGCTGGGTTTGGTGCCAGCACCAGAGTAGCCGGAAACGCCGAATACAGTGGGTTGTCCACCGAGGTAAGGGACAAGAGGAGCGATTCCAACCTGAGCAGCAGTCGCATAGCATCCAGGGTTGGCGATACGGGTAGCCTGGGCAATCTTGGAACGGCTGACCAGCTCAGGAAGTCCGTAAGTCCACTTCTCATCGAAGCGGTAGTCGGCACTGAGATCAATGATCACATTGCCGGTCTCGGAACCCTGGTCGACAGCATCGACGAAGGGCTTGCAGACACCGTTGGGGAGAGCCATGACCCAGCAGTCAACATCACCGTTGGCAGACATGCGCTTGACATCATCGGGGCTGAGGTTCTCGTAGATGATCTCACGCTTGTCATAACCCTGCAACTTCTTGCCAGCCAGCTCACGAGAAGAAACATGACGCAGGTCCAAGTGAGGGTGAGCATTGATCAGGTTGATCAGAGCCTGGCCAGTGTAACCGCGAGCTCCAATCAGAGCAACCTTGGAAGGGCGGGTGTTGGACATGTTCTTCTCTCCAAGAGGGGGGTTGGGGTTGGTAGTGGCGTAAGTCCTGAAAGCCTGCACAGGAACGGTAGGGCGAGTCGAGCGAGCAGCACGGAGAGCGTTGCTAGTCGAGGAGAAAGCACGTCTTTGCTCAGTAGAAGCGCCGCTAGCACCGAAGCCCTTACCGATGTGGGTAGCGGCCTGGGCAGCACGATGCAAGCGCGATTCGAGGTTAATGTCTCCGAACATCTGGCGGCCGTGCTCGTTGAATTCCTGAACAAGCTGCTTGACCTCCTCACCGCTCTCAACCCCGTACCAGAAGAGGACTTCTCCCTCACGGCTGAGACTGCCATCGGCCTTGTCAAAGAACCAAGTCAGGTTCTCATCGTCCTCCTTCACAGTCCAGACAAGCTTGGGGAACTCCTTCTTGATGGCGGCGAAGACGTTGTCAGCTACGTTGGTGAGCCAGCCGGACTTGGTGATGGTGAAAGTAGCCAAGTGTGCCAGCGAAGAGGTGGCATCTTTCTGAGGGGGCAACACAACAGCGAGCGCATTCATGGGCTCATCGTAATAAGCCTTGAAGTCGCGCTCCTTCAAGCCCTCAACATAGCGATCGACAGTAGCGCGGGCGTCCAAGCCCTCACGATCGCGAACGAGGACATCCTTGAGCTTGTCCAGATCCTCGAATTCGGACAGGGAGGTCTTGGTGTGGACCTTGTTGCCTCTGCGAATCAAGGTACCGGCTCCGGAGTCGGTGAAGAGTTCCTTCTGCAGGTCGGCGGGGTGGATGATAGCAACGCTAGAAGTGCGAGGAAGGTCGCTGAGGAGATCCTTCATCTCCTTGATCTTCAGACGAGTGCCGTGACGCACCCACCACTGAGTCATCAGGTGATCATACTCCTCGTCGAGGTTGATCACGGAGATCTTCTCGCCAGTGTCACCGTTAAATAAGCCACCCTTCTCCGCCAAGTAGACGATCTTGAGGGGTTGAAGGGCACGCGCTAGCTCACCAGCCGCGACATCAGCATTGACATTCAAAACTTGACCATCGGGCGTCTCGGCCATGGAGGTGAGAATGGGAAGGCAGCCAGCCTCAATGGCAGACTCAATGGGCTTCTTGTTGACACCATTGATCTTTCCGACCAAGTTGTACTTCTCCTTGTCCAGGTAGTCGGCGGTGAAGACGCCGGCATTGAGCGGGCGGGCCCGAACACCCATGCGCTCCAGCTCCTCAATCAGCTTGAGGTTCTCCTCGAGGAACAACTTTCTGGCCAGAGCCAGGGTCTTTCCGTCCGTCACGCGGATTCCATCTTCGAATTGAGGCTCCACTCCAGCATCCTCGAGCATGCGATTGAGCTGAGGACCAGCGCCATGGACAACGATGGGGTAGAGGCCAACGTGGTTCAGGAAAGCGAGGGCGGAGGAGAGAGTCTGAAGGTGTTCGGTGATGATAGCACCGCCAACCTTAATGACGGCAAATTGCTGTTGGGAGACGGAGGTGAAGTGGGAGAGGTACTGCTGGACCTCCCGCTTGGAGCCGATGTTGCTCAGCAACTGAACGACCGTGGAGCGGGTGGAAGAAAGCTGAGGATCGGTAGCACGAGAGTATTGACGCCCTTGCAACAATGGAACGGCAGAAGCTTTGAGTGAGTGGCGGGCAGAGGGGGAGCCGATTCTGGCGCGAGAAACGGCGAGCGGTGCGGAGAGCGCGCGGAGGGGCTTGCTGGGGGAAGCTCTCCGCACGGCAGTGCGAAGGGAGAACATCTTGCCAGCCAACATGCGGCAGCTTTTGCGCCTACTCGAACAGAAAAGTTGAGGGGGAGGGGGAGAAGCCCGAAAGTTTGAATAAAGCAGTTAAATTTAAAGACGACTGTTCGAGGGAGGAGGAGGAAGAAGGGAGGGGGGGGAGGAGGAGAAGAAGAAGAAGAAAAGTGACAAGGAAGAATGAGTTAAAAGGTTGGTTGTGTGGAGGGAGCCAATTCGGGTGCAGCCAGGGAATTTGCCGCAGGCTCCAAAGAGTTTTGATGGTCGAGATGGTAAAAGTGATGATCGGCTACTTGTCGGAGCGGGCGTCTTCCATTTTCTGCAATCGGCCGGAAACCTACTCTTGACTCACGCAGGTTGGTAAGTAGTAAGTTAGTCGGTAGATCGGAAGTTGGTTTAGTTGAGTTAGTGCCCACTCCGGGAGGAATCGTTCCCTCCTTGCAAGTACTTAAGATAAAAGAGTAGAGTTACATCTACATCAACTCGCGACCGGACCCCCTTCCTACGTTCCCCCCTTTTATACTTGCCTTTTTCCCTACAACCATTGCTGGAAAGTCCTAATCTTTGGGTAAGCTCGGAATTGAGGGAAATTCGAACGAGCCAGTGGAATAAATTGCGCAAGGAAGCGGCGCCGCACAACTGCCCGAACAACTTGCCCTTGGCCCTGCGTGCGTGCGTGCGCGCTGCCACTGCGACTGCGACTTTCGGAGCTCCTCTTTCCCAGCATGACTCACCACATCATTCATATTATTAGTTAGGTGAACTGATTGATCCAAGACCAAACTACGGATACGGCAGGGCCCCATTCTGGTTCCCATGAAATTCTCATAGACAAGTTCCAGCAGTTCCCAGCGATCCCAGCAATCACAGGCTCTCAGCATTATACACCTAGCAACCCACCCCCCCCCAACATCCCAGGCCTGCTGGCAATGCTTGCCCTTCCGGTATCCATCCCCACACGTAATGAAAATTGCAAAATGGAGTCTTGAAACGTCCCGGATCAATTTCCATCATACAATAATAATTCCTGGGAATCGTTATCTGATCTTACTAGCCACCCACTCCCCTCTCCCTAGCGAATCATTGCCATCAATGCTCTCTGGAGGCTGGAGCCACTGCCCGCAGTGCCCCAGCGCACTTCCCTTTTCAAGTGCCATCTCCATCAGTGTCTCTCAGACTCTGGTTCTCTTTCGTTATCTGATCCTCCCTTAACCGAACACTCCTCCTAGGCTGGTCACTGGCCACCTGTCCTTCATTATGGGTACTTTTCTTATTGTATGGTCCACAGCATTCCGTCCCCGCCAAAGCTCTTTCTCCGTTGCTTCGGAATCACGTGTGGGTGGTGCGATTCGGAACTTTCAGGTTAAACAGGCTGGATCCGCCATTGCATCTTTGGTTGTTTTTTTTTCTTAAATCGAAGTTTCATGGGGAATTTATTGTTGACATTCAGAGGCTAAAGAACGAAGGACACGCAGCAACACAACATCAAGCATACCCGTAAAGGGTAGCACAGGAGACGAAGTGAGAAAGACAAAGCGCACTGATATACTAGGACATGAGCGAGCACCAGAGTATCATTTACATCTTCACAGTCGATGGATTCATGTGGCATAGCCTCAAGACCCCAGAGCAGCCCATGGCGTCAATGGTGCGGCGAGGCAAGAAGACTTCATTCGTGAGAACAGGGATAGTTCGACGCCCGAGAAAAAGCAAGAGGTATTAGTAGCTGGAAACAAAAGCTTCACGGGCACAACACAGATAAACCAGGACCAAGTGAAAAAGAAGAAAAACGTCATCCATTCCCAAGACAATCATGACTGTCGCTGCGTTCGTAACTTATTTTCTGGTGGTGATCACTGTGGTTGAAATTAAGGGTTAGCGCATCCGGAAACCAATTGCCGAGTGGACGGCGGATCGAGGATATAGATGTAGATCTTACCAGTAGGGACGATAATCACTACAAGCAAAATGATAACACAGATGATCAAGCATACGCGCATCTTCATGTCCTTCCACCACATCTGTTTCCGCACCCGATTGGCGCCACGGCGGAAGCCCTGGGCTGATACTGCCAGATTATCGGTCTTATCCTGAAGCGAGTCAAGGCGCTCGCCACGCTCCGAGACCTTGAAGATGTTTGAGCGCATCGTGTCGACGGTTTCTTGGATTTTCTGTTCGAGGAAGCAGGCTCATCAGTCAGACAGCTCATTCGATAACGTGCAGTAGTCCGTCAGAGCGGACGATATGCCCAAGTTAAGGCAGCAACCACATTTTCTTGATGCAAAGCACCATGCAATCGCTCCCCAAGTACGCTCCGGAAGCATATCGCATGGAAAAGGGGCCCATCGTGAACTCACCTTGTCGATCTCCCTCGTCCGGGGGTCGCCATTTTGCGCAGCGGTAGCGCTGGGTCCGTTGGATCCAGACGGAATGTAAGGATCGTAAGGCTGCTCAGACATGGCTGCGATGCGCGATGTACTCGGTTTGTGTGTAGGAAACGAGACGTCGGGTCTGGTAGATCACCAAATTGCGGTGTTGAGGTTGATGAGCTCTTTTGTTTGTTCCTTCCGCAGGGGGTGAGGTGGGAGTCGTGGCAACAAGTCTAGCAGGTCGGCGTGCAGTCGTCTGGGGAGAATGAGAAATCGAATGTACTGCTTAGTCGTGAAAAGTGAATAGATTGTGAAATGATTGATGTAGTGGAGTAAGGTGGATGTGTTGCTGGAGGGAAGCTGACAAGGTGTGATGAATCGCCGCCCGCTGTCTGGAGATTACAGGCGTTTCGGGTCGGTCGGGGGGGCGGGCGCAACACGTGACCAAGCATTGGCTGGGAAAGACAGCCCGCCTCGCAGGCAGCTATTTTTATGCTAGAATGGATTCGAACCCAGCGCCCATGGAACAAAGAAGTCGCAAGAAGGGTGTGGTATTACAGTAACATGGTGTTTCCTCAAAGGGTTTGCGACTCTGCGAGAGGCCACATGCATATGCGACCTACTAGCCGACCACCTATCCAAACAATAATCAAACACAGTTGCTGTGACAGATCTACTTTACATACATGACATGCCACCGACTGGCTGTCTCTACGAACATGGACCATTGATACTTCCATTCATTCCCAGATTCGAACACAGAGACGACATCTTCCCGCCAAAGTGGCCCATTGGGCATCAGAAGTACGCCAATTGTCATGCCAAGTCATGTGTTGCTAAAGGAACGGGAGGAGGCTGGAAGCACCGTACCTTCAGCCTAGTGGCTATGCAGTGTTTCGCCCGCCGTCGGCTTCACGTGGCGATCCCTCGCGCTTGAATCCGAATCTGGAATAGACCGTGGACCCTACCAACCACTTAAGTATGTCAATCCTCAATAACGGTTGTTGAGATCTCCCATCATCGTCAATTTTTTTAACACATCTATGGTCAGGTATTCTTTGCAAGAATGCAAATCGTAGTAGACATGCTGGGATATGGCACGAGTTATGAAATACGTCACTTCCAGCACAACTTATCCTGCTGCATCGCCAGGTGTTCATATACCCCCGGTCGAAAAGCATACGTACTTGTCCTGCAGATAGATATGTACTGTACTGTACATGCATCACTTGGGGTATACATGATACTTTTGGGTACTGCGTGTCAAGCCCCAAAATATACCATGCTATGGAAAGAGAGAGCGGATTCGTGTTTGATATTCCGAAGAGTAGCTAGGCTGATCCGGAAGCTTCTCGTGGACACTTATAACATTAATCAAGTCACTGTATGGAGGCCCTGAAATACGCTGCTGATACCAATTTCGTAAATTGGAGTTATGGTAGCAATCCCACACCAACAATATAGCGAAGCACAATAAATTTGAGATCCCTCTACGATTGATAGTGGTCTGCCATAGTCTTCCTTAGCCCAATCCATGATCTCAACTTTAGCATCAGCAAAAGAATACAGATAGAGTGGATTTCCATTCAGTCGTTCACACATTAATGAAATGAAATATAATACAATATCGCCCATATAACTCCGCACACGCCTGGGTCCACGACGATTCGAGAGACTGCTTTTCAGTTTCCCCAACTTTCTTATATGGGGTATAAGTACATGGCGTTGTTGATAAGAGGAGAAGAACGCACTTCTCGTTTCACCAAAAACGACCGAGAGCCGGAGGCTTCATGATAGATCTTGCTTCCGTACTGATATCTTCTTTGCCTCTTATTTCCCACCAAGCAACTCCTTCCGCATTTCTTCTCTTTGCGCCTTGGCGTCTTCCTTCGCCTGCGTATTTCGTGTTTTCGCCTCCAAGCGTCTCTGTTCCTGTTGTTCTTGAGCGGCGATCCAAACTACACAACAAGAGGTGTCAGCACACCGCACAACGATGATTTCTCATTCAGCATCGGCATAGAGGAAGATCTCAACATACTATGCTTGTCAGACTTGGACCACTGCTTCAACTTGGTAACGTATTCATCGAAATCCCGTGCTCGTCGGTCGCCCTCTTCCAGACTCCGTTTCTGAAGGTCGGGGTTGTAGCGCTTGAACAATTCTTCGTCCGTGGGCCGGATGTATTGCACGAAGGCGGGGCCTCCCACGCAGCAGACGACACCGCTATTGACCGTCAGAAGCTATTCCAGACATAGTTGAAGTGGTGCGCTTGGGAACCCAGCTTACACTCCCAGCATCTTCAGCCAAGTTCCTGCACGAGACATAATGGCGAAGCGTTCGGAGGATGACTATCCGTCTTGAGCGATGATGTCAGACTGCTAAGCTTTCGGGGGTAGAGAGGTGCAGAGATGCCGAGTTCGCGAGACACTCCTCAAGTTAACTAGAATTGTTTGCGATCTTCGATATGCTTCTTCTCAATTGAGCATCAGTCCATCGTCATCCGCGCGCGCGGGTATCGGCAGACAGCGAGCGTGTGGCACAGTTTTGAGGCTAGTGCTCGTGGCTCAGCATGTGGCTGTGTCGTTATCCGCCAATCCCGACATGGGATTACACACCAATCGACAACAGGTTTTGTTGACTGTGATTTGCTACCAAAGCAACTAAGCCCATGGAGAGGAGCCTTGTTGCTCCACTTGGTATGTGGTTGACTGCCTTATGCCCTTATGCCTCCAACTCTGCAGCACACATTCTGCAGTATGGTACAGTCGGTTCTGATATTCAGCTCCAATCATGTCATGGCCTGGCAGGAAAGTATCCCGCACCTGCATCCTTGACACTCCAATGTCTTAGACATCTCTTTTCCATGTAACTATTTTTAAAGCATCAGGCCTTGGGGCATATCATCATATGAGTTTTTGATGCATGATCAGGCTCATAAACTTCAATTTCCAGTGCAAGCTTATCTTTAGTTGCCCCGAGCCCAAGATCAGAACCAAAAACTACCTACTATTTGTGATTTGAGCAGGGATAAATGCCGATACCAATGAAGATCTCCAGATCATCACCACCTTTACTAAGCTACACAGCTGTGCTGGATGATCACTGCAGTACTAGACAGGCCAAGGGTTGAAGAAAACTGGTGCCTGTGCCCCATGGCACTGATGGGGATTGTTTCTATCGGGCGTCAAGATTTGTGAAGAAGCCGGTGCCACAGTATAGCACGCAGAAAGACCAATAGAAGAAGTGCGAGCCCGATTACACTCCAGACGGAGACTTGTGCCGGGCCTTTGGATAGAGTATGGTAACCCAATCGTTCTGCTGGGGACAGGCGTAGTGGAGCAAAGGCACTTCTCACCGCCCTGTCGTTGGTTCTTTGCTGCCGCCTGAGGCTCGGCACGATCTGCTTGATGTCGAAAGCATCGACCCCTGACGATCGATGATGCTTTCTGCTCTTCGATCAGGGATCAATCATATCAGGGATTACTGATAGACATGCGTTGAATGTTGTGGGCTTAGGATTGAGTGTGCCCTTAAGGAGTAGTGCTCGGGGTCACTCGAGGCCGTTGTCGGGAATATCCATGATGTGTACCGCGACTTAATTATTTTTTCCCTTCTTCGGACCGACTGAAACGTCACAATTGTAGTTTGGTCCCTTGGTTAGCGCCATGCCAAGAAGTCATTGCACCCCAATCTTGCGGATTCGGTGACCATCAAAAAGAAGACCCATCTTCATCAACAACCGACTTTCCGACGCTGCCGAGACAACGCCCACCCTTAAGCGCGCGAAGGGCCCGAATGACATGAGAGAAAGGAGCAGTCATTGTCGGCCACAAGGGACAGGCTCAGTTAGTGGGACATGAGCGCAAGTATTGGCGGAACGAACGTGGGTCTTTCGAGCCAAAGGAGGGAGAACTGTTCCCCAGCGTCAGCGTCAGGTGCCGGTCAGCGTGAAACAAATCAGCTATGCGAGAAGAGTGGACTGCTATGTAAATTAAAGGAGACGAGGGATAATAGGTCCAAAGGGAGGAGGGGGGGGAATAAAGAGGATGATGGGTCATAAAAATCTTGAAAAGTCCGTTTCTATTTCCTTTCTCATTCTTTTCTTTTCTCTTTGAACGCTATCTTTGTTGCTAATCACCCCAGATAGAGATAGTGTAGTGGTCTAAATTACCGCCGCGGGCCATAGTCTTCCCCTCTTTTTTTGGGCTGTCTTTTTTCCCTCCACTCAACTGCTTCACCTGCGCGACTCGCAACCGCGCCTTCTCCTCCTCCTCTTTCCTCCTTTTCCTTTCTGTCCATGTGCTGCCTGCTGCTGGCTCACTCCTGGGGTTCACACACGTTCTTTATAGCTGACTGAGCATTTCCCTTCATTGATTGTGTTTTTGGGTCTGGATCCTGTCGGAAACGAACCCATTTCCATACTCTGAAGCAGGCGACATTCATTGCTCGTGTTCTGGGTGAGTTAAGCTGGCCCTGCGCATTTGCGCTCTCCGCTTCTGCAATCCTTTGCGCCCATGGCCTTCCCACTGACATTGTCTCTCGTCTCAATAAGGCCGATTGAACTCCTTATCGCGCGCGCCCATTTGGATCCGATGATCGTACATCTCACATGGAACTCCTAAATTATTGTGTTGGAATGATTTTCGTGCGGACCTAGCTTTGAGTAAGCCACGCGCCCCTATTGCGACCTGTGCAGGGCTTTGCAGCACAGAATCGCTCCGGTTCTTCTCCTCCTGACTAGATCTTGCAGCTTGGCTAGACAGACAGAGAGACAAACAATTTGATCCAATCAATTCAAACCCGCAGAATATAACTGTCGCTACCCCTTGCGAACAAAGAACACGCGTCTCCCACTCGCCTCACACATTCACATTCACTCGCTTCCTTGTGCATTAGGTCTTCGAGTGTGCCATGGCATATCAGCAGCGTCCAGTACAGAGGGCTCCGCCTGTACGTAATTACGGTCCCCCTCAGCCTGCCCCCAGTGGGAGGGGCTACCCGCCACAAGATGGTTACCCAGAGAGTCGCTATGATAACAACTACCGTGGCTTCCCCAATGGGGGTCACGACAACCACGGATATGGATATGCTGGCGAAGGTGCAGTTCCGAGGTCATATGGACATGGGCCACCGCCGCGCGGGGCACCGCGCGGCGGTTACGGCCCCCCGAGGGATGACCGAAGCCATGCATATCGTGGAGGTCCACCACCGCAAGGGTATGATGGTCGCCGTGGCTCTGAGGATCGAAACCCACCTCCAAGACAGGATCGTATTAGACTGCGTGAGTGATT